ACCAAACCACATGGAAGTTGCCTAATGACAAAATTCTTGGGGTATTGTGAGGTCTCGGGTCGAACAAAGGTCAAATACAAGCTGTCAATCCATAACTTGTCAATGCGCATCCAACCTGCCAAAGGACGATTCCATTGAACGTGCCTATGGTCTATATACTATTGTGAATGCTTCGTCAATCAAGTCTTTTCATATATCCTGTTACTATTCATCGCTGTCTGTATGGCCTCGAGATCACAAAGCGAAAGGCGCTTACGAGTGCTTGAGAATTTGATTGATGCCAGGCAAAAGTTGAGATCATGAAACGAAAGTGTGTATTCTCTCCGCAACCTCGACCAGCTCCTTAACTCGGGAATGCCTTTATCCTGTAGACTGCCTACATAGCACATTGGCTGAATTCAATAGTGCATTTGGTGATCAATTTCACCTGGACCAAACCATCCTCGGAACACCACCGAAATAGCGCTCGCGCTTCCGATCGTCAGATAGATGTCCACGTTTCCGACTCGGGTTTAATTCAACAAGTTGAAAATCCTCCAAAGCCGCAGCAATCGCTCACCTGGCCGTTCTGGTTATTTGAAACAAGCACGTATGTCCATACACTTCCCCGTAGCTTCTGATCAGTCTAATAACGTCTAAGCGCTTCGTTTATATTTCGCATACAAAGAGGCTGGGTATTTTGGAGACGATGACACTCATTCTCAGTCGATTAAAAAAAGTGGATTATAGCATTTGCCAGCGCGTGTGCGAAATCATCCGCCAATTATGCGCAGGTAAAAAAGAAAGTGGTTGCGAAGTCAGATAGAACGATGGCCCTGTTGGATAATGAATTTGTGAAAAGATTAATCACTGATCAAACCCTGGATATCCATTTCATACCAATTTCTCGGGGTTTCAATACTGTAGCTAAAAGAGCCCAGCCCCGGGAAATGAGAACAGGGATTTAAAGATTCCAATATTCGAACTCTGACATATCGTCATTATGTTCCAGAGAGTACCGCTTAGAACATGGCAAAAGTAGCAAGGGATTATATATTTTCCAGTACCTCTATGAAAATTACGAAGTCCTGTTACCTCAATTTTCTTGGAGCACTAACACAGTTGGACTTTTCCCCGGCCAAAGAATCACTGATAATATCTTATCATTGCCACTGTTACAGTCTCGCCGACATGGGGACTGCTAGGTTACCCTCGTAGCGGAGACATGTCACCGTTTGCAGGAAAGTTTTATGGTCTCTCTGCTAAAAGGATCATAGACACCACGAACCATTATTGTCAGACAGTTACGCACACCCGGTTGTGATATGAGGCTGGCGCAGATCAGGAACCCAGCCGAACTATCGAAATTAAATTCTAGAGACATCATACGAAGACCAAAGATTGGTTCATCAAATCGGTTCCTTCTTGTCGCGTGAGACAAGCGAATGTTTCCCTTGAGGAAGCGACAACTTCGCGACCTGGAAACATCTCATGACCTCTGACCTCAAAGCGAGGCAAGTCTGGGATGTCGTGTTGGGCGACCTTGAGCGTCCTGACTGCTCATTCAAGTACGCCAAACCCATTACGGCGGATCTACCCGTTGTGGTACCCATTAACGGGGTGGCGCAGGACGCGCGATTGAGGCGCGCCTCGAAGTGGAGGTCGGGATATCCCCAGCGCCACCGTGAATGGTCGCGCCGCGAAGCCGAGGCCTACCACACTATCTTCCGATATCTGTCCCCCCATATCAGTATCCATGTCGCGGGGTGCAGGAGATATCCTGGCCACTCCTGGAATGAACTTGAAGAACGGTATCGGCGAATAGAGCTCGCCATGTTCTGGCGAGCTGCCTTCGCCCAGCTGCGCGAGAGTGCTGGCCGAGCGTTGAGGCAGTGCACGTGAATTCGTCGATCGTGTACGGATGCTAGTCCATCGGTTGAATGCGATCGCCCCTGGGTCCATCGGCGACAGAGCGCACATTGCAATCCTACCGATGCAGATCGGACCGAACACATCCTGATTGGAGTATGCGTATCGAGAATGATAAGGATCCTGCTAAATCCGGCAAATATTGGCAACCGTCCACAAATGCCGAGCAGACGGTGCAGCGAAAGGACGCTGCAACGTTCCCCAGAGAGTCCCCGCGGAACAAGCCACCCCTTCATCAACACGGTGCAGAAAACACCAAGAAATGCAATTACTGCAAGAAGCGCGGTCATGTAGCTGCGGAGTGCTGGAAGAAGCAGCGCGGCACAATAGCCGCCGCTGCCATGTTCTGAAGGCGAAACGAGCGTTTCCGGCTCACCTTAAAATAATTTACAAAATATACCATCAAGCCAGATGGAAGACCGTAGGGCCTGCTACTTCCAAGAGACCGAGGATCAATATCGTGAGGGCGAGGGTGACGACCCTCCTTACCTACGCACCGCAACCCCGGTGGATCCTGGACTCGGCTGCCACCAGCCACACCCCGGCTGGACCGGAGCTGCTTCAGCAGTCTTCGGATCCATCGCGAGATGTTGGACACGGCGGGCGATCCAGTGGAAGCTGAAGGGATCGGTACGGTGAAGCTCACGCTCCGGGGGAAGTTCAACCAACCTCCGGCGCTAAAGAATGGTACACCTCGCGCCACGCGTCGGGATAAACCTGACCCAGCGTACCGAAGCTACTACGAGAACGCTATTCGGTGGTGGCGCACCCGCAGAATGTCTTCGTGCAACGCCGGATACGGACGGTAGGGACCGCCTACCACGCGGAGGAGGATCTACCGGATCCTGCGGTGCCATGTGAGCAGCAGATTCCGACACCAGTTGACCCTCGGACGGGGCCTGAACCCAGTGACCAGGCCGGAGGATCCCTGGAACCGCAGGCGGTGGCCATGGACGTTGATGACTTTGAAAGTCAAGTGACGTAGAATGTACAGTGTGTACCTTTGAATTGGTGGTAAAGCTCGGCCACTCGAAGTAGATGCGGGCACAGGAGGGGGGACTGAAGCTTCGGAAGCGTCGTGATACGCTCGGATGGATATCTGAACCGGGTGAGCCAGGGTGGCCCTCCGGCAGACTGGCACTCCGTACTCGCCCGCTGACGCTGGCGCAGCTGCAGGCAATGTGCAGTGCCCGGCGTGTATGTCGGGTAAGCAGCATCAGAAGAGGAACTCCCGTGTATGACGGCCACGTCCGCATTCAATGGGAGCAATATTCGAATTGATTCATTCGGACATCATGGAGATGCCAATGGCCAAAGATGGCTCCAGGTACGTGATCACCTTTACTGACGATTATCTCCAACCCGTGCATACGCCATGATGGAAGCATGGAGCGCTCTAGAAGTTTCGGGCTTCCAGGCTGGGTGCACCGACAGTTTGGTGCCCGGATAAGAAAGGGTTCTTACCGACAACGGGAGAGAATATTTGCCCATTGCAGCACTTCTTGAATTGAAGGAGTCGAATTTATACCTTGCTGCCTTGACTGCAGGGGCAGAATGGACTGGCCGATCGTATCGAATCGCACCATCAGGAGCGGATCAACACGCCCCTGTCCAATGCGAACCTTCCTCCTTCCTGGTGGACTGAGCTCTTGCATGCGGTGGTCTATCTCGAAGCTGCGCGCTGCAGGCATCGATCTTACAGAAGAAGGCCCCGTATGCAATCACGACACCGGGAGCCGCCGTCACCGCTGCATCTGACGGATCGGCCCCCCTGCATGGGTACCGATACTTAAGGAGCACCGAGCAAAACCCGGGCCCAAATCATCCGACTGCCGATTGCCGGGTTATCTCCGAATCAAACCCGTACAAACTTTATGAAGTTCATTTGCGAAAGACAGTCCTTTCCCATTATGTCGAGTTCGACGAGGAGGATTCCTGAGCATCCACTCCATCGAGGGGAAACAGGTGATAACCTCCCAAAAACTGCTTCTCCATCTGCCGGTCTTTCCAAGAGCGGTCCGGTCGTCATGTACCGAACTAGCGTACTGTCACCTGTAGTGATTCAGAGGAACATTTGTTGTCTCGTTTCAGCGGGCATAGAGAAGGCCAGCAGACTGACTGTTGGTAAACATCTGCACGACCATAAAGGAACACCATCCTAAGCTCAGCCAGTCAGTGGCCATGATGGGCCGCTGTGAACGGTCGAAACCGCTGTGGCACAGCCCTGGCATGGTGGGGCCCTGCTGCGGCCCCTTTTGCTTTGAAATCGATCATCCGAGTGCCGCAACAACGCAGCGTCAGTTACTCAAGCGCTAGGCTCTTTTCATCTCCGTATGGGCAGATACGCTTCAATTGAACCGCGTACTCAGAATAGGGCCAAGTCTGCGTCGCGCAGAGATCCGCCTCGAGATCCGCCGCAGGATCCCTTCCCAGTACGTCGAGTTCAATGAAAATGGAGAATTCGCCCTGCTGCGTTTAAACCTTTCTTCGTATCTGTCCTAGCTAGCTGGCACGGTCTGCCGCGTCCATGGTTTCCCCAAACGCGGGCCGTAGGCCAAGCGGAGTCAGGTGGGGCAGGCGTGAACACTGCCGAGACTGGCCGCACTTCATGGAGGAGATCGGTTTAATAGAGGTTTAGGATGTGATAGGTCTTAAGAATTTCGAAAGAACGAAACATTCTGAGAGGACAATTGTGACTTTTCGACGCATGTGGTGCCCCATTAGAGACAGCCGTCATAAACATGTCACCTCTCCTCTCGGTAAATAGCGCTCATCTCAGGCCCTTTTTCGATCTTTAGATCGTTAATGCTACATTCGTTACTTGCTCAGGCAAACAGTTCCTCCGTTTCAGAACCAGAACCTATCGTGTTGATCATGGCCTCTTCTTGTTGTTCCAGCAACACCTCCATATCCAAATTCAAGATGACGTTGGGAAGTATGACATCCGCATTGAAATGTCGAAACTTTGCCAGGCATCTTCAACCACTCCTTAGTATTCAAGGCGGTATCGTCTGACATATACGTAGCGGCCAGTTTTACAATGAGCAGCGAATACAAATGAGCGATAACCTGACTTCTGACGATGTTGACGACATGATTATTCGACATAACGGCGGTATACGGATGGTCTGCTCCATGTACGGATCTCAAGGAAGAATCGATCCTTGTTGACGATGTAAAGGATATAAGGATTTGTAGTTTATCCTGAAGAGCCTCTACGCAGCCTGGGTCGTCGAATGCATTTGAGAGTTTAACGACGATGCAAGTTACACGAGGTTGAAGTTGGGACGTGGAACGAATCTGGGACTATGGGAGCGGCTCCCGTTACTATCAAGGAGAGATTTTGATCACAATCGCCGTAGCTCTTGTCTCAATAGGCGTTGTGATCATTTCTCGACTTCGAAGGTCCTTGTTGGTACTCGTAGGCTGGGGGGATTCTCGTCTCTCCCGGTAGCACCTCGGGATATGTCTCTCCGTCCATACGGGGGCCGCTTCACGGACAGTCTCCTTCGGGCCATTCTCGCTGCTTTTGTTTCCTTGCTGACGATACTTTGAAATCGTCCTCGTCCTTAGGTCAGATGTCCCACATCTTTTCCTGCGAATTCAATCGAAAGCGGGAAAGTTTTGCGGATTGAAAATGCTCGATCACGACGATATTTGGCTAAGAACTTGTGAAGCTCCATTAGATTACCTGTTGAATACCGCTCGACTAGACAATTCAAATCACGAATTCACCTTCAAAAAAGCGCAACCCCAGATTCATGCTCTGCAGTCCACTTGTACCATCATATTTGGCTGTAGAGATGCAAGATTAAATTTTTTTAATCTGCCATTCTCGATGTGCCTGCTCGTTCTTTCGAGTATGGATGCACGAAACAGTGGCTCGATGCAGGGTCGATGCTCGATCTCAATGATCGAAATTTCGATGGAAACCAGCTTGATCATATTGAATACATAGCCTCATTTTCCCCCTTGAATATTGATCCATCTTCCTTTGAACCATACCCAGCTGCCAATCCCGACCTGGAAGTCTTTCGAAGACATCACTTGATGTTTCACTGAATTGGTCGTGGTGAGCAAGCAGCCCGCATGGACACCTCATGACATTTTGCTTCTACATTTTGCTTCTCCGACAAGCGGCTCATCGCGAGTGAGTTTTTCGTATCGTCTCCACGGAACGCAACCTGTCCGCTGAGCGACCGTGTGGCCTCAATCGGCTACGTTCGACCGCTCGAAGTTCCCTGAGTACCCTCGTATCTGCGTTCAATTAATGAAAAAAAATGATACGTGACCTGATAGAATTCGTCATTCTTCCGAGTCATCTGGTTAAATGGCCAAGACGCAAAAAGATTATTGCCGTGGTTCGGAGGTATGGAAATGATTATTATTACTCGGAGGGAATTTTGAGGGTTTATATACACGATAAGAACAAGTTGATTTTCAATCAACATGTTTCTTCGCGTATAGATATCCCGGGATCAATTCCGACTGTTCGGCTCGGTTCCTGATCTGCACCAGCCTCATATCATAGCAAGACCTTTAACGCTTAGTAATTGTTGATGACCAAACCGTGGAGTCCCGAGCCAACCGATCCCCCGCCCACCGCGATCGACGTGGCAGCTGATCACGGCCAATCCTCGACGCGCAGCTGTCTGACCCAGCTCTTCCCAGATCGCCCCATCCTGAACGGTCACCGTCTTAGACCTTAGATCGGCAAAGAACTTTCACATTGCGGACAGCACGATAATGATGCCCCCACGGGTCGGTAAAAGGGTAATTCCTGTACTGCTGCCTAATTAGCACCGATCGCTTTCAAATGAAACCCCTTTCGCTTACCACAACAATCAGAAATTCAATGGCCCAGACAAATCAAGGGAGCATTTGTCTTTTCATGAGTCGAACTTGATCAAAATAATGCTCATAAGTCTTCAAGATACTTCGCTGCTCTCTTGAGATATTGGTGGGCAGTGAGATATCTCGACCTATCCGGCACCATCTCATTGTATTTGACGAGGATTCTTTTAGGAATATCGAATTCATCAAGCTATTGGATGAGACTTGATCGCAAGAGATGCTGAAGTGATTGGCAGTGTCGGGCGCTGACATAGATAGAGATGGGCGCATCAAGAAAGAACGGCATACATCACAGCAGAAAGGTCCTTGCGATGTTTTGCTGTCGCAGGTCAAGCATATCTCATACCCCAAGGGCATATCTGGAGAGATTATTGGTGGAAATAGAAATGGTCAATATTTTCTCGCACAGTAGCTGTTGCAAAAAGAAGTTTTATTATATCCCTTGGTTACTGACTGCATCATGCATTATAATAGGTAGGGTGGGTTCAAGCGATCATTTTGATTTTATGGGTCTCTGGGTCTTCCTGAAGAGAATGAATCTATGGATGGAATAACGACGGATGACGCTTGGTTCTCTGAGTGCTACGTAAGGACCATTAAATTTCATTGGTCGGAAACGAATGCCAGTAGATTACGACCAGGATGAATATATGAGAAAGTCCACATGAGCCATCTACAGTAGGTGGTTGAAGAGTCCTGAGAAGCGCCCTATTGGAAATGCTATTGGCTGGCTGGTAAGAATGCGGCAGAAGTTTTGTAGAGAATTTGGGTTATTAGAAGTCATGCGATTGGTTGGGTAAATTAGCCGCGCATTCAACAGCTGGGACTAGGCCTCGCTAAACCCGACGTCAGGCCTGCGAATTTCAAAAGCGGCCGATCTCCGTGTCCCATTTTCACCACTTATTTTGAATTCAGGGCCAAGCGGTGTTCAATGTCCCAGAAAGCTTTTCCAGCCAAAACCTGCTTTGCGTCAGTATTATTGGATGCAAATGGAGATCCTTGTGGTACGCATACCGCGGCTAAGGAATTAAAAGGTGGTGGGTATTTCAAAACCTCTTGCAATTTTCTTAGTTCAACTTACTACTAAACTACCAGATTACGACGGCTGGCACATCTTATCCACCTATCGACACCTTATTGACTCAATACATCAAATTATTAAAGATACGCATCTTTCGATCGTGCAAATTCGCTCATTCAATGCTATACCACTGATTTCAATGCCATGGCATCAAACTCGGGAGCACACCAGGAATTTGGGGAAGGTCCCCGCCTACAGGATAATGCTGCCTATCAGGACGACAGTGCGCTGAACATATATGCTCTTCGCTTGGGAGCGTCGAGCCAGGGTAGCATGGAAAGACGCTGATGCAGCAGAGGCACAAGAACAGTGGGAGGACTGGGATTACTATGTCGATCTAGCCGATCTATGTGAAGGGATGGCCTGGAAAGCTCGCTGTCAGATGGAAATCCACGGTATCACCTGAAGGTTCGGTGAATGACGGTCGATCGAACTGAGATTGAATTTGACCTCTGAGATTTAGGATCTTACGTGAGTTTCTGGACTGTTTGGGATAAGATTGGAGTATAAAAGTTTAGGCAGGGAGCTTTGAGATCGGTTATCCTGAATGTTTCTTAAATAGCCCATGCTAAGAACTTGATCATACGGGCGCGATTGCCATATTAAACATGGCCTTCTCTGCGAGCTAGCCAGCATAGTACACCATCTCATTGTTGGGGGCAGGAAACGCCATTTAGAACTCGAAAACGGCTTTTCATCACGAGGATGGCAAATATAAGATGAAAAAGGCCCAAACGCAATTAAGAGATTTTCATAATCTTGGCCACAGGAGAATTCCAGTAAACGCTGGACTTTACAGCGACCATCAATCAAGTTCCGTCCAACGTTCACCTAAAATGGATGTACTTTCTTTGTAGCTCTCCCAAACCATTCTCGCATCACAGCAAATATAAAATGGACTCCCCGGATAAGTTGACTGTGTGTTAATCACCCTTCGCGTGGGTCGTGGGTCAGTCTTCCCAAGTCATTTGCGTGGAGCTTTATTTGGCTCCCAGCTACGACCGTTTGGTAGATTTAAATGACATTGAGCTCACTTGAAACCTAGTTTTCAACCTGATATAGGCCGGAGACATAGAAGACATATGTTTTATGACCGACCATAATCCATGTTTGAAGGCAATGATCGTGAAATACATGGCGACATGGTAGAGGGTGTATTAATTGTGACTTCGAGACCTGGTTGAGGCAAATGGGACTAGTTTATTCCCTTAGCTTCTATAGAAAGATTATTCGATTTACTAGTTGAATATACGATCAAGGTTTCTTAAACTATCCTGCTCGGTTTTCATGGATGCCCACCATACTATCAGTGGTTTGGGTAAGGCTTTCTTGAATTGTGCTAATCTTTGAAATCTGCATTCATCCATCGGGAGTTGGCAAACAGCTCACGTTTCCATATATGGTGATCAAGCGCTCAGAGTCCTGGCGTTCCAGGTTGCTCTATTGCCATTCATTCATTGATAGCGACAAAATTTAGAAAGGTATACTCACAGCACCATATCGACCGTACACATTACAACGATACCGTATAAAGCTGGCAAAAGCAAATGCGTATCTTCACGGGAACCGGAGATTGGCCTGTCCGTTATTAGGTCTCGTATTGGACTTCAAGATAGTAATGCAATCATTTACCGAACTTATTGGAGATACCTATATATTTGCTATAGTATTGTATGATATTTCATCCATTTGGGGAGAAAAATAACCGAAGCTTTAGTATCCGTCGGTTTTCATGGGCTCTAGCGAAAATTGTACACCAGAAATTGGATAATCAGGTGACGAACTAAGGTCATATCTTATTGTCAGCGCATCGAGTGGTATTTTACCACTAGCAAGCGATTGATCACCCAGGAACCCACATTTCTTTGTGTTTTGTATGGTAAATTGGTTCAACTAGCAACCTCGGTGTAATAACCACCGAGTATACGCACATACCGGGGGGGGGGATTTCAACCTGCCTCGATCGCATGCTTATTTCGATTCAACCAATCATTTTATCCTGAATTGGTTCCGCTTGATCTCATTCGTCCTGAATGCATACCAGTCCATACGCTTTTAACAAGTGCTGATAAGCTAAAACTCAAGCTAGGCTACGTATCGCCACGAAGACATAATTGGCCCAGTTCTGGAAACTGTATTTACGGTAATTTTGATGATCTATTAGAAATACATCAAGAAAAATGATGGGATTTTCTTTGACCATATTAGGTTTAGCGCTAACTTTGTGGGGCGCCAGAAAAGAAGGCGCGAGTGTCAAGGGGGTAATCTGCTCTCGAATTTACCGTATACTGATTCGGTCGTTAATTTATCTTATGTCGGAACAGAAGATGTACGTCCAATCAGGTCCATGGATTGTTGTCCGGTTCTCGTTATGTTTGCTCACATACTAATTTGTATGCGACCGACCATGACTAAGACTCTGGCTAAGTTACAATGATACATACTGACCATGCCTTACATATCAATTCCCACTGATACCGACACTTTAATTAATAATAATTAGTACAGATTTTTAACTATACAGTATGGAAAATGGGTCTCATGAACTACACTGAAAAGATGCGAAGACCTATATCCTGATCTGCAAGACTTCGTTAGATTGGATCATATTATTGTACGGTTTACACTCTGACGTCTTAATTGTTGCACTACGGCTAACATACTATAATGTTGCTTTTGTTTCTTTTCTTTCCACTTCTTTTAGATTGTCAAGTTGACATACCATCATACGGAAGCTACCAGTATTAAGGAATGTGTGAGAGTTTCTAAGTGTGGACATTCCGAATTCTTCTCTCGCTGTCTACAGTTACTCCCAAATGCAGTAACGAACGTATTCCACACCAATATATCCAGGCTCTTCCTCGCTTCCTTCACAGCTGCACTCCCAAGTACTTTCTCTCTCATCTACAATCCCAAAGTCAGCCAACTGTTCTCAACCACCAACAAAGGTTAGAAGATATTTCAAGCTCACCTCACTACCCTCCCACCCCAACACACCAACCCACCTCTTCTCCTCTAGATTGAGACTCGTCCCTTGAATACTATCGCCATTCCCATTCACACCACCCGCCTCTGCAACCGCACTAATAAACTTCTCCCATGCTCCCCTCGCCTCCACTACTTTCTCATCCCCCTCCCCGATCTTCACCTGCCACACCTCCGTCAGCGCATTCCCAAACACGACACTCGGCCCGAGATCCGTGTTATAGAGCTGTGGGACTGGCGGGGCAACAGAGTGAGGCTTCACGATGGATTTGAAGTTCTGGAAATTGGCTGATGCGACGAAGGTGTTGAAATGTGAGGCGTCTTCCCACTCTGTCGAAGAATCAGGATCAGTCTATGTTCGAATTTGCGCGAGCGCTGAGAGGAGGGAAAGGATAGAAGTAGGACGGGAATGGAACATGATGACATCAAGAGAAAGGAAAGGAGGAAAGGGAAAGAAACGGGGAAGGAAGAGGAAATGACGAACCAAGCCCAATAGAAAGCCTGAAGTCCCCCTGACACATCATTGCCATTCTCGAGGAGAATCTTCCCGAGTATTTAGACTTAGGAGGAGTGGCATGTGTATCAAGGATTGTGATGAGAATAGGTGCGATCTCGGTGGTGAATGTTGCTTCCGTTACGGGATCTGTCTTCAATGTTGGGACAACCAACTCGGTGAAGGGCATTTTTGCTGTTGTGTTTAATCGGGGAATTAAAGGATGAGAAATTGTATGTGAGATTGAAGAGATTGGAACTGAACTTCTTATATATATTCTTCCTCATCCACTTTCTATCTCCTGCCTCATACTAATCATTCAAAAACCCAACGGCCGAAACTCACAATTCGTCCCAAAACAAGTTATGTATTATGTCATCTTTTAATAAAACCTCGGGCCGAAGCCGAAATCTGCTCGCATTTATAATCCGGTAAGCTCTCATTGTTGAAATTTTCGTGCACTCAGGGTAATTCCAGTAAAATTCCCGCAGCAAGAAAAGCGATCCACCCTTAGCAGCGGGCTTGCTCTATCTAGTTGATGAGAAGTCTGAGGAATCCGCAAACCTTACCCAGACCTTTCTGTCGAGCGGAAAGAGTGGTCAAATACCACTAAGACGCTTTTGGGTGGGATGTTCATTGTCCGCCTAATTCCCCACGTATTCGTGTGGTATTCGGTGTAGACTTGGAGTATGGTGTCGTAACACACCGAAACGAGATGATACAGACTCTTACGAGTGTTCAACCACTCTCATCTTTAATCAATCAATCATATGATTCTATTGGACATGTTCAGTACTAGCCAGTACATCAATTCCTTATCCTGACACTTTCCTCCGTGAGAGTGGCGGTGGTGTGTGTCTGGTAAGTTTCTGAAGGGTGGTATCAGAGAGCAAACTTGTAAAACAGGCCCGCGGCCCCATCAGTCTCGTAATAATTCTCGATGGCTCCTTAGAATCGCTTATAAAGGTGGTTCTTTTGATGAGTGATCAAAACCGTGCTGCGTGCTGGTCCAGTAACAAGCTGGCATAGTAATAAGGAACCGGGAACAAAACAGATCGACGCTAGTTTTTCGGCCTATCTGCCCGGATGAGTGATCATTGATTTATCAGCCGAATACCGCGTATAGTGGTGGGTTTCGCCACTAAACGTCAGATCATATGGGGCAGATGGATTAGTCAGATGAGCACCATCAACTAAGTTAATTAACTCTCACGACAGCGACCAAAATCTCGCCACCACCACTGCGCAGAGTACCAGCATCCGCCTAGAGTAAACATGCAGCGATCCAAGAGTAATAACATGATCAGTGTAAATGTTTCGTCTGCGGAACGAATACCGAAGCGCATTACTGAGGTATCCGTTTCTGGAGATGGGTTTAAGAGAACTCAGACAGTACACTCTTGGCCAGCGGGACCTTGAGAGATTATAGCACCGAAGGCTACAATTACGGCTAGCACAGCGAGCCTATCGCTACTGCACGGAGACGATAACCTTGTCTTTGCAGTACCGACTCGAAAATCTGCAGACACAGATTCAGAATCTACATCGGACATTTCAAGCATTGGCTCCGCAGACAGAAGACAGAAGAGTGTGAGGAAGAAGTTTCAAGTGAGGTTGGCCCTGGGGACGAAGGGGGCGATGGTGACGTTGTTTGAGTTTTCCATGTTTTTGTGCCCTACGTAGCCGAGTTCGTCTCATTTGTAACCCATCATTCTTGAGCGACCATTCAAGGGTTGAAACTAGTCGGCGCTCTGGTGGTGGTCTGGTTGCTTGCTATGCCGTGGATACAATCCCTTGTGACCCCAAGAAACACGGTTAGGCGTAGGGATCCGAAAGGAATATGATTATTCATGAATAGTCATGAACATTTGCGAATATGAATAATATGAATTGAATAATATGAATATGAATAAGCCCTCTATTCATATTCGCAATATTCATGAATATATGAATAATTCATATTTATTCATATAATAAGATACCATACATAACCATTCATTTCATTACATCCCAATACATTAACCAAGCTGCTCCTATACTCTGGTCCATAAAAATTGCATACGAAACTTTACTTCTAAACCACTCAATTTACATGCATGCACCTCTGAAAATCTATGACTGAGACTTTCCTCTTAATAACATCAGCCATCGCATAGTCTCCGCGTCAGACGGTGCCTTCGGAGGCCCAAAACATCTCGAGCATTGCTGAACTCGCGTTCAATCCCGACCTCTGCTGAAGGGATGGGTAGATAATCGCGAGCGGCTTTTGCCATCAGTGGGAAATTAAACGCGTTAGCCTTCCACCACTTTAAGACCCATTCTGCGTCTGCATCGCCGATCATATGATGGGACCAGTTGACCTGCGGGGAATCCAAATATTTATCAATATCCGACAAAGAGACCTCTTTGGATGGCTGGACTTTGCGCAGAGTCTTCCACATTGTTTCTGACATCCCAGGTGGACGTAGATGGTCAACTTCACGCGACACGAATGGCTCTGGAGGGTATTCTTTTTTTAGAAATTCCCGCACTTGAGAGACAATAAGCCCTGAATCTTGCTCGCTCATTCGAGACAAAATCAAAGACGACTTGATGCGCGGATCTAGCACGGAAGCCACATAATAAAGAAGGTTGTCGTCCATTTTTCTAGCGAACTTGTTCATCTTCCGAATCCCTCTTTCCACCGCATCGCGAATTTCAATGTTCACATCTTCAAAATCTCCCTCCGCATTTCGAACGTCATTTAACAAGTCATCCAAGCTCCAGTAAATCGGTAGGCTTTCCACAATTGTTGGGCATGCCTTTGAAACCGAGTTTGTGTGGTCCGAGAACGGCTTCAGAATCTTGGCTACTTGCTGAAGTGTCGACCATTCGTCATCGATAAGCTGGAGGGCCTGAACTTCTGGATGTATCTGCACGAACTGCCCCAGCTCAGTTTGTAGCCGAAGGGCATCTTGAATCATGAGATATGTTGAGTTCCATCGGGTGTCAACGTCATAACTGACTTTTTTGCTTGGTGATACTTCTTTCCATTCTTGGTGGTGCCGTGGGCTACGGGCGATCCATAGCGTCAGCAATCGGATTTTCATAATTGCTCCTTTCGTGCTGTGAAGAGAGTTGAATGCTGGGCTAGTATGAATGGCCATATCGTCCAGTATCGCCTTCGCTTCTCGAGCTGAACCAGCCTTTAAAGAAGCTAATACATCTTTGCAAATTAGATTGAGGACATGGGCAAGGCAAGGAATAAAGCTCTGTCGTCCACGGGAACCGCATCAGAGGCCTGATGCGAAAGCGGTCATCGTCATTATCATACTTCTTGAGGAGCTGGTCATGCAGGCTATCGCAGAGTGTCCCGTTATTGCCCGCATTGTCCCCCGTGATGGTCAGGAGCTTAGGCGCGATGTCTAGCTCGTCGAGCATCTTCAGTACAACTTCCGCAAGGTTCTCTCCAGAATGGGGTCCATTAATTTCGGTGAACTCAAGGAGCTCTTCTCGCTTTTCAAAATCAGGGGATATCCAATGACCAATGATACCCATTATCGCAATCTGATTTTCTGACGTCCACACGTCAAGAGATAATGCGAGTGTCCGGCTACTCCTGGCAAGTTCATTTTTCACGTAAGCCCTACCCGAGTGGAATTCCTCCTTAATTCGGTTAAAGAGAGTATCAGCGGTTTTGATGGGCAAAGAAGTCCTGTTGCTTCGATAAGTGCCCTGAAAGCCGGCTGCTCCACCACTGTGAAAGGCTGTCTTGTTTGAATGACCCATTGGACTAGCATTTCTTCAACGCTAGCCTTCTTTCTCGGTGACGCCAAGAACCGGTCGAGGCTTCCTTCGACCGCGGGTAAGAAGATGGAGTCCGGCCCAGACTTGATACGATGCTTGGTCTGGAGATGCACCAATAAATTCGAAGTGGAACCGTAGCGTGCTGAATCTCTGGAGGACCAGCTGCAACGCTTGCAAATAAGCAGTCGGTCTTTTTTCGGTGGGCCACCCTGCCGACACCAAGTGTTATCCAGATCTGTGGTCCAAAAGTGCTCAATGGTCCAACTAGAATACGACTTGGGTTTTCGTCTTTTATACGGGTGTGGACTACTCGTATTGCTCCTGCTCTCCGAAAACGCAGGATCAAGCGGGGAGGGCGAGGAGCTAAGCAAAGAGTAAGATCGCTTCGAGTGAGGTGTGTCTTCTGGGTCCCTAGATGGGGAGAGCTCAGGAGAGTAAGGGTGTCTTTCACAGGCAGATTCCTCAGATTGCTCTGAAGGCGAAGAAACCAAGCCATTGTGTAGAGCATTACAGTCCCGACGTGGAAGACCGCGCGTCCTCCGCATGGACGGATTGGGTGAAGATGCCATGCTACTATTTCCTGGTATCAGTATATCAAAGTGGTATCGACGGTGATGCATAACATACCTTGAGCTATCTGGGCTGGGGTTAGAAACTGACAGGGGGCTTGAGGATAGGATGATTGTTGACAAGCCCATCATGTTCGCGCTTTATATGCCCTTCTTGACGTGGAAAGTTGATAGGTCTCCTTTGTGTTTTCTGCAACGCGATATCGATGATTTTGAACGTAAACAAAATGCAGCCAGGGTCATCTGAGGCTCTGGCTTGTGAGGCAAACGCGTTTTTCACGTGCCATTTCTCAGGACTACTTTATGGACGGAGTTTGAAATGGATTGAACTTGAACCGGGAGAATGAGCAGATCTATTCAATTCATTGCCCAAGTTGGTTCGCAATTGCACTGTTAGATATATATAACCTTCACGGATCTTTGTGGTCGTGTCAAGTTTCTATGAATAGGCACTTACGAATGAGTATCATATCTCAAAAAGATCAACTACGGCACATCATACCGGTCAAATCCTACATGAGCGGGTTGTACCTTCCAACAGATATTCGCAATGGAGATTCACAGTCCAGCGTTGCTGATGAAGTGATGGCATTGTGAAATCGACATCTAAGCGCATTTTGGTAATACGATAACCGCTTTACCGGACAAAGTATTAATGCGGAGAAATTTCACGATATGAATAATATGAATGCGAATATGAATACGGCGTTTATTCGCGCGAATAAAAAATTCATATATTCATATTCGCGGAGTGCGAATATGAATATGTCGTATATTCGCATTCCTTTATTCCTTTCGGAACCCTAGCTGCATTATTGTCGATATAAGGGGAACTGTGTCGATACCGCATAGAATGCAATCACTATAGGCCCCACATATCAGAATGCATTACGTGCCAACCGGATACCCCCAGCTTGTGTCTGTCTGATTTCGTTGGACCTCACCTGCAGAGTCGATTGCTCGCTGGATTGGTAGCTCGACATCATCAAGGCTTTGTAGGTACTGTAGTACAAGGAGGCACTTCATAACGCACTATTCTCGCAGCCTGTATTGGATTTCCAAGCCTTGGCAAGGTACGTCGATTGGGTTCGTGAGGGAACAGCCGAAACAGGGCTGATCCAAAGTATCTTTCACACCAGCATCGATTCAAGTGACTGACAGCTACTATTACCTACCATAGGCGTTGTTTTTCATTGAGAATAGACAAGCCAGAGGCGGAGCAGCAGGCGTCAGTTCGGTCATAGGTACATATGAGAGTTCAGGCTTAGTCCATAACAGATAAAATGTATGTGGATGTAGGCGCATCATAAATTCTAATGTATATCCTGGTGAAGCGGGGGAGAAACTTATTATATTTTTTGCCCAGGGTGACCAGGGCTGACTAGGGAATGTTTCGAGAGTGGCTTGTTCAGGTGGCAAAAGAGATCTACATGGAATATTTATAGTGCTGCGGCCTGCTTTGTCGCTGGCACAGCTTCGATCACCCTTGAGTATTGTGAGGCCCCAAAAGACTGGCCCTCAGGTTATGCAGTGTATTAATCATTTCACCATTGACATTATTTTGCTTTTGTTGGCACCGCAATTTCGCTCTTAATGATCAATTATGCCAAGGTCGATTTTTTCAGTGTCACCATCGTTTCAACATCCGCGGCACAGTTACCAGAGGTCAACACATCAACGATGCGCCGTGTCAACTTCTATAAACATGGCTCTGAGCTAGGCGAGATACGTGGTTGCCATTTCTACAAGAACCTCCACTGATATCTATTACATATTGATTAGCGCTATGGAAGGGGCCAATAAAGGGATCAGGTGAGAATGAGAACGGTCGGCTGCTCTGGCGTCAGTTCAACCTCGGCTATGGGGTTCAAACCCAGATATAGGGATGTACATATTAAATTGAAAGTATAAAAGTCTCGCACCAAGGAAGTTCCAGCTGAGACAATTCGCTACCTTTAATGATAAGAATATCAGTAGTAACTGACCCAGATTATTCCTTCCTCTCCTCAAAGCACAATGCTCACTCTCTCTGGTTCATCTACCACTTACCACCTATGTTTTTCATGCTTTCTTGAGGCAATCTGTAAACCTTTTGCCCCAATTTGCACTAGTTATTGTGTTAGAAGAGTGCTTGGGTCAGCTAATATCCAGAATACAGAAAAGCATAACACTCACCTAGTGTTTCGCATTACATACCTCTTCTAGCCTCTTAGAGTTTTCGGCTCTTTCTTTCTCTCCCATAGTAAGTGCTATATGAATAGCATCAACAGATTCGTCAATATCCCATGGATTAAAGATAATACTTCCGTCGAGGACCTCCGCCGCACCAGCAAATTCAGATAGTACTAGGCATCCGTGTTTCAAACGTTGGGATGCAATATATTCCAATGATACCAAATTCATACCGTCACGTGTAGATGAGACTAGGCAGACATCTGAGACGGCATAGAGTGCCACGATCTCCTCGAAATCAAGTGAACTGTATAGAAAGTTGACTGGCGAAAATTCAATTGAGCCTTGAGACAGATCAGCGCACTTCACATCCCTTGGGCTCCAGGAACTCAAACGAACTAACCATAGTTTCCATTTAACCTGCCTACTAGTTCATTGACTTCTGTCTGGAGACTCTGAGACTCTCTAACATCTTCTCTTGTTGGCACAGCAACTTGCATCAAAACGAGCTTCCCAACCCATTCAGGATAGCGACTCAAGAAGGTTTCCAACGCGCGCAGTTTCTGTGGCATGCCTTTGATATAGTCCAAACGGTCGACACTGACTATCAATCTCGCCCTTGGTATCTCTGCTGAAAGCATCCGGATTCGATCTTGGACGTTTCCTTTTTGGAGCGTTTCTGCGAAGCGCTCAGGTTGAATACCGATTGGGAAGGCATCCACAGTTACACTCGCTTCGTGAAACTGCACGTAGCCCGCGCAAGTAGGAGTTTCCCTGATAAAAAATAACTGAACATCAGCGAAAATGGATTACGTTGGTGGATGCAGCGGCAACGCACAAGATTTCAGAGCAACTGTTCAGGAAATGCCTTGCGTAACTGGTGGTGTGAAACCCAACAAGATCGCAATGTAACAAGCCTGTGAGGATCTGTTTCCTCATCGGTAGGATTCTAGAGACTTCACTACTTGGGAAAGGGGTATGTAGGAAGAATCCGATTTTGACTTCAACACCTGACTGTCGTGTACCTTCGCGAAGGAACTGCGGAAGGAGCATCAAAGTGGTAATTGTGAATCCAGATGGAATCCCCGTCATGAAGCTGTGGAATGATTACTTTGGCGAAAAGAGGTTAACGTCATAGTAGGCATCCCAGGCAGCCTTTTCAATACGACTCATTTCATGTAGTTGGTAATGAAGAGTGGCCACAAAGTGGAATCTATGCATAAAATGTCAACACAAGCATCTATATAGTTTATGCAGTCGCAATCGTCTAGCAGCTGACGATCTGCTCATATAAACCAGGGAAAAAGTGGAAACTGACTTGAAAATCCGTTGTAGTACTTGTCAGCCAAATCACTATCCAGGAATATGGGTAGCACATTGTATTCCGCTACCTTCTGAGTTACAAGCTCCTCGTCCTTCCGAGGTATCCCAAGCCCTGGCCATCCAAACCAACGGAAGGGCATCGATTTCGTTAGGGCCGCTGCGCCAGTTGATTGAGAGCATTCGTAACTTCCGCTCTCTGAGCTTCTTCATTTTAATGGGTAAACGATTCGAGACAACGATAAGACATGGATGTGAGGACATCTTTCATAATACGCCTTTCATAAATATGGTCCTGTGTGGAAAGCTAACATATACTAATTTCCTGAAATCTTGCTACAGGCTGTCAGGGAATAAAAAGGTGACCTGATGACTCTGGTCATGGCCTTTACATAAATAATCCTGTAAGTTAACTCAGATCTAGGAGAATACGTCATCACTCGCCTACCAACAAAGTACAGATAGTGCGACCAAATATGGGTCCATCCATTAACTAGGCCTGGACATCACGGACAGCTCCGGCTATACTTTCGATCGCGAGTGTTCTCAAGCATCTTCCAGCCATTACCTAATTACCCAGTAAGTGAACAGAGGGATAAGCCACTACTTCATCTGGGATCGATATCAATCCCCCTAGTTGGCTTGGGACGTTGGATATTCGGAAATTTGAGTTTGAGCCGATGGAATGTCAGCCGCCTATGGATAGAATTGAAAATTCGAGATATTTACTTGAATAAAGGCAAGTATAGAGCGGTCTAGTCCCTTCTAATCAGGACTAGGGGGTTAGGGGTTCCTACTTTGAATATCATTGTACTGTCTTTTCGCCCTGTTACGCAGTGGTGTATTTACGTTACAACAATTATAAATACAAATTTCGCCACTTCCTGCTCCATTCGGTGAAAAGCCCAAATTAGAGACCCGAGCTACCATGTTCCCTCTCCATGTTGATATACCTATCCCGTGGTTGACTACAGTCATGTCGCTAACTCAGCCCCTGGTTGCCGCAACATCAAGCGGGGGCTTGAATTCGGGTTGGTTTGAATTCGGATTCATCCACTGAGCGGCTCAGCTTTCGGCTTCGGCAATCCAGGTCGCTTGCTGATGTCACCACCTTCATGTCATGCCACTCCCACAAGTTTAGTAGATTTTGATTTACCTATGGCTTGGTACTAACTGTTCATTGTGATGTAATCGAGGGAGCAGTACAGCTGTATTGAGTAAGCATGGGGCGGGGAGTGGGCATTTTAAATTGTGCCGTGATATACCAGTCATATTGTTTTTATTCAATCCTCCTAGGACCATCACAGCAAAAATACAATGAATGCTAAAAGTTTACCTGTTCGTGACTCTGAAAGTACGCAAGCATGGCTGGTTGGCAGTGGCATCGCTTCACTTACTGCTGCCGTTCATCTTATTCACGATGCGGGGTTACCAGGATGCAACATAAATATTCTTAGCCACCATGGCGAGACAGGAGGAGGAATCAGGAGCTCTGGAGATGCCAATCACGGCTTCGTCCTGCACCCCGGATGTTTACCATACTTCAATGATGAATCGGTAGAGAATTTGTTGTCTCTGGTCCCGAGTGCTCGAGTTTCAGGTAAATCTCTATTGGACGCAGTCGGAGATTTTGAATTGAGTGAAAGATTCTCGCTTGGAATGGAAGCCCAGACTCGTTTTTTGAGAAACAAAGAAGGAAAGTGTGAGCGATCCGGTGGTGCTCACCTCTCGATCGGGCCGTATAATCGGCTTCAGCTCCTCAAAGTCCTGGTGGAAAGCGAAAATTTGTTAGGACATAATCAGATCCAGCACTTCTTCGGTAATGACTTTTTCGCTACTGACTTCTGGGTCTTATGGTCCACTACGTGAGTTTGCTGGGTTATGATGAACAACCTCCATTCACTGACTCACGCTCACTGGTAGATTTTCCTTGCGACCTTCGTACAGTGTCATTGAATTCCAAAGATGTCTTCGCAAACATCTTCCCAATATTCATTCACTCAATGATGTCAGGACATTGGATCGCACTCGGTTTAATCTATACGAATCTATCATCTTGCCAATTTCGACATACCTCAGATCGAAAGGTGTTAATTTTAATTTTAATGCAAAAGTTATCGATATTCGATTTGACATGGACGACAATTCAAGTGAACCAACCACTGTTACTGGTATCGTTATCCGCCAAAATGAGAGAGAACGAATTGTCATTCTGAATCCCAATGATGTTGCGATTGTCACTATTGGGTCACCCCACTCAGGCCACCAGGTGGGAAGCAACTTGGATCCCCCCTTCAGCCTTCTGTTCCAAATGATTTCAACTATGAGGACTGGTCACTATGGATCCATCTCGCGCAGAAGTCTACCAAGTTTGGTGTTCCTTTAAATTTCAATTCGCACCCTCAAGAGTCTACACTAGTTACATTCACTGTAACACTGCATGGCTCAGAGTTTATGCGTCTCTATTGCGTGCTGACCCATGATGTTCCTGGGTCTGGTGCGCTTCTTTTGTTCCCCGATAGCAACTGGCTACTTAGTATCAGTATTCCTCACCAGCCAGTATGTTCGACTCAGCCGCCAAATACTCATGTCATCTGGGGATATGGGCTGCGGCCTGAGAAGATTGGGAATTTTGTTGACAAACCAATGACCAAATGCGCTGGAAGGGATATCATGATTGAGTTGCTCTCCCACCTGAATTTTCCGATCAAGAATCTCCTTCCCAAGTCGATTACCATTCCTTGTTTTTTCCCCTTGGCAACTTCAGCATTATTGCCTAGGTATCCAAAGAATCGACCAGAGGTCATACCGCCTGAAACTACCAACATTGCACTTGTTGGTATATTTGCTGAGATTCCACACGACCCAACCTTCAACTTGGAATACAGTGTACGGGGAGCTCAGACCGCAGTCTACCAATTAATGGGGCTCCCAAAGTCACTGCCTGAAGCAAAGCAAAGTCTTCTCTTGGATGTTTTTGATTTGCTTGTAGATAGCTAAGTGAATTGAATTCAATTTGTTTGTGTTTAGGTGGTGCGGATTGTATCTGCCGAAAACGGTCTCTTTACTCCCATCCATTCTGCCTTTTGTCTCATGTTTGTCTGGCAAAAAGTTCTCCGTGCTCTTTTATTCATCGGCTGAAGAGTCTGCCAGCGCTAATCTAACTGATACAGGTTCTATGTATAGGGCCCAGAGTAAAACCGTTGTCTTTGATCAATTATAAACTGTGGAGCATTCACAGGAAAGATTTACACAAAAGTAATACACTTCATATTATCCTAAACAAGATGCATTCTTGGGCATCCTGGTCCATTTTCAATTAGCCGAACATAATGTCCTAGTCAAGGTTGAGGCTTTTCCTCCAGAGTCCAAAAACAATCGTCAGTCTTGTTGTAGTTCAGAGGTATGGATTGATTGTTGTTATTTCAAATGGAATACGTGAGGCTATATATATTTTGAGAAGATCAAATTGATCATAAATTACAATCAATTAGATACTTCGTATAGATCTCTCGTGAACTAATTCCGATGGTGCGGCTTCGTTCCCGATCTGAACCAGCCTCATATCACAACAATGAATCTCCTTCGAGAATGCTAAGCCCGTGATATTCTTTAGATAATCTTACAGTATCTTTCCAATTTGACTATAATAGAATCACAGATGGCAGAGCCTGATACCGGTACTTCCTGATAACCAAATTCATACTCAAGGTAATCGGCTAGGTAGGCTACATCCCGAATAACGATTGCTATCCTGGGCTGAGAGTTTTCTAAAAGGCCTGACATTCCGACTTATATACACTAAAGTGATGTTAGTGGTTCGAGTTCAGTTACACTGTACTGTACCCACAAAATGGTAACGGTCGAGGTGTTTGTAAGTCGAATTATTGTCCAGGCAGGAATTTGTTCTCAAATGAGGCCGATAACCTGCAACTGTATGTCGAGAAATAAAGCTTTCGTGTGGAGGCGGCTGAAACATATGAAAATTGCGTTAGTCTGTAATGGTATTGAAGCGAAACACTGGAATATATGAGGGAAAGTTTGTGGGGACGGCCGTTCTGAAGCGAAGTTGCATGCAACCCAATTTATAGGGAGAACGATCAAGAACGAGGCCTGTTGTTTGGATATATTGGGTCCAACTTTGCTTACCGTGGAATCAATGAGCGAAGGGTTGGCGACGATGTTCGTGTCTAAAGGTAGAATGTTGCGTGTATTGGGAGGGACAAACGACCGAGACCAGACCTGCTATCTTGATATATGGGATCTAATACCTGCGTCCGTGTTAGAGAAATTTCAGGGTTCTGTTTTTTCTTGTAGTATATGTATGATCATTGTATTGCTGTCAGTCTGCGCAGTCACGACTCAGTAGATATGTATAGTCTAATCCTGATAGTAAGCCTTAACCATTGAAGGTCGGCTAAAATTGAATTCAAGTTATTGACATTATCTATTCCAACCATTGCTACACTGCTACAAATGGAGACGAGTGAGATATTTTTGGCCCATACGGGGCACCTGCAGTCTGAACATGGTGGTGTAGGTCTCCTTGGCAAAAGGCTACAGCGTCGTGAGGGCTGCAGGCGGGCCCGTAGCACTCCGTATATTCTTAGGAGGAAGCAAAACTATGCGGAAGCATACTTAGTACATAATGAGGGGTTCTGCGGTGGGCGGGAAGAAAACCGTTGCGAAGAGAGCGCAACTCCCCCTCGAAAAGGCGATATTCCTTTCGAAGGAGAGGATATACGAGCGATATCTGTGTGCGATCATAAGCACGGAATATCGTGGACCCGACGCAAGGGGGGGGCTCTCCGCAACAATCCCGAATAGAACATATCATTTGACATGTTGAGCGAAACTGGGCCATTGAAAACAGACAGGGACTATCCCTATTGAACTGAATCATATACACGAGGAAAGAAAGAAAAATCTCGATGGCCAATATTAATACAACCAGAGAAAAACATATAGAAGAGCACAAAGTTCTTGGTGTCCATCACGTAGGGGAAAATAATGGTCGCTCTTTAGAAACCGCATGTCTCTTCACTGCCAGCGACAAGTCAGGGCCGACAGAAATTGGATTAATCCTGAGATCAACCAAAATACTTGTTGGACCTGGCTGGAACGTCATGGATCAAACCTTCTGGCGATGCAAATAGGTTATTTAAGTAATCCAGAGCCTTGAGGAACTACCTGAAATTGTCAGTTCCATTTATGCCTTCATGAAAAACCTGTCATCGCTACGTCATTTGTCAGCCATCCCACGGAACTCTTGAGCAACAGTCATACACAATCATAACCCACGTACAATAAGCCCCCTTACCGGATTCAAGGACCTGTTAATTTGATAAAAATCATAAAGGCCTAGTTAATCAACTACCAGTCTCTTAATTAAATAGCACAGCGAATTTTTCAATGAGGTATTATTGTTGGATAACAAGGGCAGGGTGCAAAGGTCATAGGGCCCAGTTCAAGCAGTATTTATGCTTCGACTCCAAAAGGAACTCGCCAGGAAAACAGAAAAAAATAAAAAAATGAAGAAATTCAATAAACAAATGAAAATGAAAATGTATTTTCAAGCAGAGAACGGTTGATTTCCGATTTTTGTCATCACATCACATAGAAACTGTAACCTCAGTGTCATATCGCCTCCTTAACCAACGGCTGGGAACGAACCATGGGATGGTCTTTTTGCCACTCACGTCATTCCGAAATCATCTGATATACCTCACTCCCGCGCAACGAGACTAACAAGCAGTTCGGTCTACCATAATTAAATGCAGATCAATCTTCGTTATGCCCTTCTTACCATTATCTACTATCCTGAGGTTAAGAAAGGAACTGGAAGGAACGGCCGCCGAAATCTTGACGTGGGGAAGTGACGGATACGGTGACGGCATTAAACAATGGAGTGATTCTTGTGATGAACAAGTTGTGAGTTGTCGTTACCAAAATGATACTGAAATGCAATCACTGATACTTTTTAGGGTGCCGTAGTTCGGGTCACATCCGCCGGCGAAGCAGCTGCAGTCGTCCGCTTTGCCGCATGCCATCAAATTCCCTTCGCAGTCAGAGGCGGGGGCTACTCCACCAGCGGAGCCTCCACGACCCGTGGAGGTATCGTCTTGGACCTTTTCTATCTACGAAGGGTCCACGTGGATCCGGTATCGCAAGTACTTACTGCCCAAGGCGGGGCTCTGTGGGAGGATATCGACGTTGCAGCAGCCCAGCACAGGCTAGCAGTTGTCGGAAGTACACTGAACCACATTGGGGCAGCAGGAGCAACATTGGGAGGAGGTTATGGATGGTTGACTGGCCAGTATGGCCTGGCGATTGACAATTTGCTCTCGGCGAAGATGATCCTTGCTGATGGCAGCGTGGTCACCGCTTCAGAAGAGCAACATTCGGACCTCTTTTGGGCTATTAGAGGTGCCGGTCAGAGTTTTGGAGTGGCTATTGAGATGAGTTTCCAAGCCCATCAACAGAACCACCCTGTATTTGCTGGGACTCTTCTTTCTCGGCGGACAAACTACCCAGGATTGTTGATTTTGTGAACCAATTTGAGACTCTCACCGATGGTATGCAGGGCTTCTGGTTTGGGTTCACCTCGTCGCTCTCAATGGGCGAGCGCTCCATCTTGGTGGTTGTCTTCTATAATGGGAATCAAACTGATGCAGAACAATTCTTTTCCCGGTGCTTTCACTGGACCCGATGGTGAACGAGACACAAATGCTTCCTTACGATAGTCTGAACGGAATGTTGAACGCGATGGATACAATGTCGCGCCGCAGAAGCCTTGAGGGATTTGATATTACGTTTCCTGTCGATGAAATAGTGGGTCCTCGGAAAAGCTTGCGAGGATCAAATATCACTCTCCCTCTAGATCCTAATTTTGTCGTATCGATATACCACGAGTTCGACGGCATCTTGAGGGATTTTCCGCTGGCCAGGGACAGCGTATTACTTTTTGAGCTTCTGCCAAATACACAGGTCGCCAAGATTCATAACGATGCCACCGCGTTTGCCAGTCGTGGTCCTTATTATAATGTCAGTTCTCTATTTAGATGGCACGACTCTCATCTGGACAAGAAAATACACTCGCTGCAGACGGATCTGATGAGCCGGATTGGAACACGGGCAGGAATCCGAGTCCGCCCCGATTATAACATAACCAGGCACGGAACAGGAGTATATGCGAACTATGCGGGTATTTTGACGCATCTGGCACAAAAAAGTATCTCAACTAACAAGATCGCAGGAATGATTTGCCCAATGAGGAAATTTTTGGACATAACCTCGCACGACTTAGGGGGCTGAAGAAGAAGTATGATCCTGATAATATATTCAGAAAGTGGCACAACATTAAAGCGCTCTATCGACACTCCAGGATAGCCTCTGAACAGTATGGATAGCATATGGAACATCAAACCGATATGTAAATTACAGTGGGCTTTAGTTAAAGCAGGTATGTGATGCTGGTGTTTATTGGTTCAGGCGTTGAAAGCCAAAACTACCCTTTGTTTCTTTGACCCTGTGTATAATCGGCTCTACGCCAGAATTGAGAGTATGAACAGGGTCGTCCTATGTCATATCGAGTTCTCTGCAGGAAAAGCTGTTCTTTACTATCAGAATGGGTGAATTGCAGCATCTCTCGAAACGGAAAGGTTTAGTAAAAAAAGTCTCCGCCATCTTGGTTGAGAATAATTTTTCTTTTTGGTGTGTCACGTCTGTCTTGACACCAGGAAGATCCATCAGTGTCTCTTGCCTCCGAGATTAAATGCCTATCATGTTTTGAGTCCAAGATCCTAGTTCAGCCCTGCCCAATTGAAGTTGCTCATCGGAGGTTCTCTCTCCTTATAGAGAAGCCACAACCGAACCCATTATATACTCGTTATCCTAAAAGATGTATTTCGCCTACACGGACGGTTGGTATCTGCTGTTATATGTTACCCACAAGTAAACAATAGGCACCGTGATATTAACACTTAAGTACCCTCTGTTATGTCAGCGCAAACCAGCATATTAGACTATACAACACACATAAGCCCGTGAGACATCTAATCGACTGTAGTGACATCCACGGCAGATGGTAGAAACACGAGTGCCTAGGAATTAAAACCAGCAACCATCTGTCGAATAGGAGATATTAAAACACTTCTGACAGCCCCTCGTGGTGCAACTTCCTGTTTCTCCGGTTGGTTCGTTTCTGCTCGCTGTAAGACGTCGAACAGTTCAGCAATGCGGAGGAACAGGTGTGACTGTATCAGACGCTGGTTCATGGGTCGTAAGCTCTCATAAGTTCGGCTGTGCCTCAAGATAAGACGGTCTTGTCGTTTCGATCGGTAGCTGAGATGACAATGTTAACTTATGAGGCTCAAAACGACGGGAGTTTTGCCCTACTTTCCCTTGTACGCGGACTTGGACTGATAAACTGGCCGCCTGCGAAGTTACGGCTCACTTTATAAGATAGAAACATCAACATTAATCCGTGGTTTTCTGATTTCGAAGCTCGGAAAGACACCAGATCCCATCCCAAGGGAAAAAGGATCACCCAATGGAGGCCCAGAAATCCAAGCCATAAGGAGGCTATCCATTGAGGGTGTTCGAATGCTGAGACGCAGACAGTGGTATGTGCTCATTGAGGCGTTGGTCTTGCACTAGGCAGGCACATCGACGCATGACTTGATGCACAAAATCCACTGGGACAAAGGGCCGAGGTAGACAATTTGTATCCACAGGCGACTCATCTTCGATGCCACCAGTAGTCGTGTGGAAGCTATAGACAGCATGCAATCTTGCTCGCTTCGCATTCGACTCGAGTGATAGGAATATGAGGGTGTTCTCCTGTTGTGCGATCCGAGTCAGCAAAGATTGATCCAGTTGGATGAGGTGTTGTACCTTACCTGTACATGAAGAATCCCGCGAGTGTACGCTTGAGACAGATGATCAATTAGGATTGTGATCATACCAGCTTACCAACTATATCTCTTCCAATTCTCTTCGGCAATCTGGGCACCATTCATGCCACGTTGCATCAAGATTCGTCGCACTCTTCGGTTGTTGCTTCGAGGAAGCTGTGCTGGATGCACCACCTTGGTCTAATCTGACTCTGCGGAATAGTTTATAGTTTACTCGCCACAAGAGTTTTCGCGGTTCGTGATGGGTTGCTGCTATAACGGCAGGAGAAGTCGATAGTGTTAGTGCTGTGGCACAGACTCAGCACAAATCATCGGACCTGATGCAGCAGCAGGCGCGATATTCCACTCACTTTATTGTGGAGAACGAACTTCTCGAGCTTATGCGTCCTGTTGTTGGCCCGCGGCCTTGGGTTGCAATATTTAATATAGGACATACTGCATAGGCCTCTTTCAATCGACAGGGCCAGAAATATTGTGTAAGTCGGTTTTGCGCGGAGCACTGACGGCGCCGCTGGTTCTACTATCTCTGGTGCGCTGTCAACGGTTTCCTGCCCGTCATTAGCTTGTAGACCGGAGAGGTATTCCATGACTCACAACACACGGGAAAGGGCTCCGTGGCTTTACGCTGTGTATATTGGACGAAATGCACGGATCTGATTGTTTCGTATAGTTTTTGTAGTTAGTCTAGTTTCGGATAGGGTCGCGCTGAGATCCACCTACCTATGTGAAAAGTCGCCCTTTTGCATCTGGGATAGATCCAGGGGCGGGACAATAGATGAGCCCAGTCGGTTGCTACGGCGGAGAGAGATGTTCGCAAAGAACATACGCTAACCAAGCTTTTTTCTCTTTGATCGGCTGTTATGGGTAGCAGTGGTATAGGGTGGTAATCACATCCTCACGGGTCCTGATTCAGGTCCCCGATGTATCTATTGATGTCAGTGCAAATTCCAGTAGGAGTCCAAGAGAAGAACTTATCAGGTACAGCAAACGCACGGCTTGCTCTCTGCGTAGCCAAATGATAGAATTGTAGAGCAAATTGCCGGGGTAGAGGACGTACTTATTGACTTCTCGGATCATCCTATCACGTACGTGCTCTGCTAGGTAGCAAACGTTGGACACGGTGCCTATCCTAAATGAGGCCTGTTGAAGTATTTGCACCGACATACTTTTAGATGCCCACCGAGAGACGTGTTAAAATTGTGCTGAGAATGAGTGAAGTTGAAACGGTTAAGAAACGTGTTGGCACACTGTCAAACCTACGGTGTTCTATATTGAGACACTGGGAGCTATTCAATCTTTGATTCCTGTTTTGATAATCTCAAGCGTGAATGACCCAACGTTGAATCACCAAAGAGCGTTTACTTCTTTATCCCTGAGAATCATTAAGTTTTTTTTTTTTTTTTTTTTTTTTTTTTTTGCTAGCCTTGCTTGATGTTGGGCTGTCTGAACTGTGTGTGGTCTGCCTGTTCAGACTGTGGAAAACGTCAGGTCGCGGGCGCGGGTACTCAACCCGTCAACCCGTTGAAGCTTGGCTTTTGTCGTTGGCTCCGTCAAATTTTGAACTTGTGACCATCGTTGAGAGATATGGGGTCTTGCTTTCACTTCTCTTTCAATTATTTTGACTTCTAAAACCTTTTAATTGTGGAATTACTGAGGCTTTCAACGAAAATGGAAAAAGTATTGTGATTAAACATGTATCTTCTGAAGGAGTTCACAGTGACCCACGGCATACGAGACACACTAACGATCAACACCGAGAGGCTTGATCACTGTCATCATCAAATAGACTACCAACAGCCCACTGAAAGATACCATTCAGTATACGACTGCTTCAATTGACCGTTAAGGTGATCGTAAAACTGCATACTGAAGTGGGGGATATGTGAGACGTCAAATAGCGGTGTGATATAAGATAGGACATACGCGATGTATTTAGTGCTGGCATTCGCAGAGAAAGCAATTCAGACACCTCTCTCTTCAAAATAACCTCTAGGTGTTCTCTCTCCATTACCTACTACCCCCAGTGGCTGTTCCTGGTTCGCAGACAGGACTGGTCGGGGCCATCGGCCCCTATTTCAGTACCTAATTTGAGGATTGTCAGCAATATCCAGGAAGATTATTTTCCATAACCTTAAAACTTGGATCCACCGTTTGAGTTGAGTAAATCGAAGATATTGATTGAATGATAGCGGACAAATGAGACTATCAGTAAGCCCACGCCGTAGAAATTCTCGGGACGTGAAGGACCTGGAGCCCCAAGTCTCCATAAACTGGATCAACTCCTAGACGAAGCAGACCTTAGTCATTCGGTAATTCAGAGTTGCTCAATAACATTGTTAATGGTCACGAAGATTCAATGAATGGTTACCTCGGAAATCCTTTTCTCTCTCGTCATTCCTGCGCGCCATTTCCTCCAATTCTTGATCCGCTCTCATCCTATCCTCACGTCGCCCTTCAGGTACAACGGAAAAGGCTTCTTTACGAGACCGGCCGATTAGGAGAATTTGGGCATTGGGATAATCGATGAGCTCAGGTTTCAAAGGCACCCAGCGATAGAAACCAAATATTTCTCCAAAGCTGCATGTATGGTCAGGTAAATAGAACGGGAATAGCAGATGGCGCTCTCATAAACCAACACCCACCTTTCAGGACAGTCCGGGCCCTTAGGAAGACTAACGTATGAGGGACTTGACAGTTTCGGATTTTTGGACTGCACAACCCAACTCCCTTGCGCATGGAGACCAAAGTCTTCCTGGACTGGACCAAGCGTTTTAGGATTTGTAAGAATATATGAAAGATGGGAATTCCGCTGCGTCGAGGTGATGGTGTAGACGCCTTTTGCAAACAGCGTCGCGTCCGGTGTGGTTCTTGTACCGTAGGTCTTGGTATTATACTCTTCTCCAGCAATCAAAGTCTTCTCAAGCTCTTCCAGGGTTATCCCAGCCCTCTCAACGAAGCCCATTTCCTTTATCCTGCCTGATGTTGGAAAGACTTTCTTGGGGACCACAAGTAGTCGAAATTCGGTGCCGAACTCCGTTGAGCCGTCGCTTTGAATCGAAGCTGCTTCCGAGGGTGTTGGACGGAGAACAATGAAACTTCTCGCAACATCATTTATGCCACAAGGCCCGAGGACATCAACCCGGGATCGGTAGAAGAAGTAAATTAGGCCCCCCTCAAGGGTTTTGAATGACTTGATATCTTCTCTTCCTTGGTATTTGAGACCCTCTGTTACAGGGATCCTAGCCCTGAGACTTTTGTTTTCGTGTTCTTCCGGAGAGAGCAAGGCCTCTTCGAGTTTAAATGTAGGCTCAGAAGCCTCCTCGTCTTTCTCTTCAAGGTGATTGCTCACGTGTTGGTGAATCATCTTCTGTGAGGATTTCTTGGCTTTCTTCGGTCCAGAGCTTCCCAAGGTCAATCTCTCTCGTTTGGTGCTAGACTCTTGCTCGCTCTTGATATTGGATTTGCCCAGACCAGTGTGATCAAGTCTCCTATTAGCCATCGTCACGATGGAATTTTTGTGAAAAGTTTCCTCTTCCAAGCAATGTCTCTTGGTTAAAACAAATGCGTAAAAAGACCTTTCTGAGTAGAAAATATATCAAGGGGCCAGAGGCTTTGGTCTGGTCTCCAATATAATCCCTGTAGGAGAAGATAAATATTTAGGGAAACAGGCCTAGTGTAGCCGGCTTTGATGAGATGGATTGGAGTTGACGGAGTCAAAGCTCTCTGTTTGGGGATTTATACATTTCATATAATGGCTATTTGTATTCAAAAAACGGTAACGGTAGACCTGGATGTGTCCATGACATTGTCCTAGAGATATCTCCTGGGAGTACCATTGTGGGTAATTACTCTCATCCCTGGATCCTGCGGATATGGCGGAGATAATGGTAGGAAAGTCAGAGCACTACTCCAATGAACAAACTTAAGTTGAGAATATTTTGAAATTACATAGGGCAGATTTGGTGACAATTCCTTTCCTTGTGGAGCAGTAGCTTCACGCGTAAAACTTTGTCCGGTAACTTTGCCACCCACCATGCATCACCTGCAAGGGCTAGGCCGTTCTAGACCCGTAGCTCCCTACCGGACCCCATTATGCATTGGGAATCGGCATGAGTCATTGGCTCTTTACATAATTTATCGTGCCCGGTAGTTTCGTCTGTCATTGCTCGGTTAGAAGCGGTTGCTTGTCTATACCTTGGCAAAAGAATTATATGTGATAATATGTGGGAAGTGTTGATTGCCGTAGGCAAGTCTTGGATTTAGATGTGGGAGAATCATGATCACATTCTAGAAACGTGAAATAACATTGCATAAAACGCATTCGTAGGCATCTCATATAATACAAAATAGTACTATCAGACCGGTATCTCTACGCAGCAGTGTGGTTAACTTGATCTGGAGCATTTAGTTGACATAGAGTATCGGTATGACTGAACTCTGAACCCTATGACCTGAAAGCGTGCTTTTTTAGATCACCTCAAGCTTTGTACCTCAAAACTAGTTTGGCAATTTGCCGTCGCGACCGAAGAACCACTGATCATGACGCTCTGTGGGGGACCTGTAACATGTGGGCGGAAACAGACAGTCGAATATTGGAGAAATGTCGTTTTAGATGTCAAACGTGCGCAGGCTGCGATAAACTTGGATAATTCGGCATGGTACGAATGCAACATGGGGGCAGCATCTCGCTACTGTAGATATTTGAAGGCGACTGCGAGATCAGTTTTTAGCTAATCCTCTTTTCGAAATAACCTCCATTACTTCTGTCTAAAGTATAATTTATCCTTCTTGTGGGCACTGTTATATCCAGACTTCTTGTGAGCGGCCTTGGCGGATATTGAGACATCGTTGGCATCTGAGGGGCCCGGTACTGAGATATTAACTTAATCTATGTGTTTCAAATTCCTAGATTCTGCAAATCATTGCTGCAAGCACTTGGCAGCGGGCTTTTCAAACGCTTGGACTTGATTTGAGTCTCAATAGCTTGAGAGATGCCCGAATATCGCTTAACCTGATGTACTGCTTAAACATTACACGTTCTGGTGATACTGTCTGTCGCATGAGACCCCCTTACACGCGATTACGAGGAACCCGCGAGCAATCAAGCCTGACGCGTTATCTCAGGGGCCTATATTAAACTGATCAGCTGGCCAGAACCGAAATTTAGTTTTCCAGTGGTGTTAAATGGTGATTGATGCTTATGATTTGAAGTGGCATGATGTGCGGGGTAATTGGCAATTCAGCACTGGTCGCTAAAAGTTTCGGAAGGACGAACCCTTTTTTCAACTTTCAGTGGCGACTTTCAATGCAGCGACGCTTCTAGCGCGCTTTTTCCAGCCGGATCCGACTGAACGTCATGATTGCAGGTTGAGACAACCGCGTTTTCATTAAAAAAGCGGAAAACACCCCACATGACAAGAGTTGGACTGGGCAGTACTTCTCTTGGGAAACTATTGTCAGGATAAGGAATTGATGTACTGGCTAGTACTGAACATGTCCCAAAATTAAATAGAAAAAACTCAATCGAGCATATAGGAAGTCATAACCTAAGGAGACTGTAGCCATCATTAGTAGAACAATTACGCCACCCATAGCTCATGTTATTGTTCTCGGTGATTTATAAGATCCGTATACCTCGATGGGGATCTGGACGGCTATGTGATACTTTCAGTGCGATAACTGCGTTCAGGAACCTGCCTTGCTTGTCACTACGAGTGTTCTGCGGGGCTTTTATGCTGCATGCCAAGAGAAAGGAACTCAGCTAGTCCATGTCAAGTTTGCAAATGATTGGCTGGAAAGAATCACAAAAAGCATAGCTCACCGATCAGTGGGTAGTGGGGCCGGGCGTTCGTAGTGATAACACTAAGCCCCACCCAATGCGGTTACGGCAAACTTAAAACGGGGCAATCCGGTCAGCAAAGCTACCAGGAGTCTGTCATTTGTGGAAGGCACTTCCGCAGTCTCTGGTGACTCTGAAGTGGGCTCTGTTCATTTCAAAAACCGGATACGCCAAATCTCAAACTACTGCTGGTTGGTCCATGTGTGGATCTCCAGGGGCATAGCAGGTTCCAGGCTTTCTTAACCTGGGTAGCCTTCTCTTTGCTCCCCGCATATTTGTACATTTTTCATTGCATAGATATACGATCCAGACCAAAGAGTTTCTCTTCGCCATGCCTGGATTTAGCCATTCCAAGCCCCTTCGTCTTTTTGAGTCCGAGTTCATGCGAGGAGGTGTAATATTATGCAACTCGCATTTGACATCACATACTATGTCTCTTCATATACATGACGGTTCATCACGTAGTATATGTATAAAAGGAGAAAGAGGCCGGTCATGCTATATGGGTCCTGTTCGTTCTCTTATCACTTAACGGTCCTGATGAGCAAATTAAGGGGCCGGAAATCACAGATATTACTGCCAATGTTCCATGCAAGGCTCAATAACTTGTACTTTGCTTTCTAGAGGAGCCTACATGTTTTATTTTATTCTTTTATTTCTTGAGCAACTTTCAGGTGGAGACCAGAACGGCAAAAACAATGCCATGGTGTAGTGAACATTCAGGCTGCTTTTCTGGAAACGAAACAAACATGGTGTTCACACTGGAGCCACCCACCACAATCCAACAGGGTGATACTTTCTCTGTTTGTGTGAGTGTGGTTCTGGGTAGTTCATATGATCTTACTGAGACACAAAAGCAAGCATTTGCTGTGAACATATCTCTCGTTGACGAAGACAATCCATGTCCCAGAGATGGACTGAGAGGTAGCTTGACGTCTTGTCTACAGTTTCATCCAGGCTATCCTTCACACGGTTTTGCTGTATTCAATTATATTAGCATCCACCGAATAGGTCTGCACCGTCTCCAAGTTGTACTGGGAGCTCTCTCGCCTACTGGAATGATGATCGAGGCACGTGTGGTGTCTAAAGTTTTCCATTCCAGTTTGGGAACATAAATCCATGCAAATACGGCAGGCCAGGTTCCTTTACCGCCTCGGCTTTGTGCCCGAATTCTGGTATCTGGCACTTCCTCGGCCGATAAAGCCCACACCCTGCATCAGCTCTTGCTAGTACTAAGCTACCTATTCGTCACTGCAATGATTCCTGAGAGTGCAGGTGCCTTAGGGGCCATCATCTACCGCAGAGTCCAGGACTGGGAAAAAAGCTTCTTCCTGCAATATAGTCTGTCGCAGTCCCGGTCCACTGATATCCGCGACGCTTTGACCGATCGCAGGGCTTTGCATGAAATGTCATGTGAATACTTGGAAATTCAGATCATATATACTCTGTTCTTCCTCGGGAAATATGCATCGCAAGAGTCTAGCCTTCTTCGGACATGCTTTAGACAGCCTTGGTTCCCCTGCGGATTGTTTGAGGTAGGAGCCAGCATAGCTCTCCTCTGCTACGCTTTCATGGGCATTGGTGCTAGTCACATACGGGGCTACGAGTCGAAGAAGAACTGGTTACGTGACGGGTTAATGTTCTCTACCGTGCTGGTACAATTAAGAAGGTCCCCGATATTCTCCTCCGACCTCTCAATGGGATAGCTGCAGGCAGTCTTGCTGGACCTTCAAAAGGCATTCCAGAACGAAGAAGTCCGGGTTGCTTCAGTGAAGCCCCAAAGGATAAATGTCAGCAACAGCGCAGAGATGGGAATTATTACACACAGGCATTCCATCATAAGGCCCCTCCTTCTTCCAACAATCTCTCTGGTCGATTTGAGGATCGAGCTTTCCGCCAGCTGTACCATTTATCAATTGGCCACTACCTCTGCAAATGTGCTTTACAACAAGCATCTGATCCAAGATCTAGAAGAGGATTTCAAATGAATCCCTGAAGTTATGCGATCAAAGCCTGATCGTGTCGTGGTCTCAGAAATGTTTCATGTTAAAGCGTGGCAGGAACTTTCTCGGGATGAGAATCCAGAAGAATTTCATATGAATGCCTTTTATGTTGCTCTTGGACCTATGGCAAAATATGTTCTAAGGAGGTGGATCAAATATACTGACTTGATGGTCAGGGACAAGTAGCAAATCCAATCTTTTAATCCGACCAGGAGGAACAATTGGAAGATGTTCGACCGTACCATGGGATATAATAACGGATTAATGCTTTACCGTGCTCAGAGTAATTGTGCAAAAGTAAATATTGTAAGCTGGGTGAGCATTGCTCATCCCACGGCTATAATGAACCCTATCTAACCTGGCAAAGACCCCGAAAAGCTGTTCTTTGGCAGACTGAAAACCTGTTTCCACAATTACAAATGTTTCGAATTCAAGCCTGTCAACTGGGCTTGAGAAAGGCCCGAATTCGGTCATGGATAGCATCGGGTTCTGTACAGGTGATAACTCGTTAGAGCATCAACGGCATAGTTTTGGACAAATGGTGACTGGATGGTCTAAACTTACAGTCCCTCGCCACCACATTTCAGAATTTTATTTGGAAAAATTGCGGCCATTCACGCATGGCTTCCTTTGGGGGTTTCTTCTCTCCATTTAGTTACCTCAATTCTAATTGTCTTAATTTTCTTTTATAAAAGTGCGCTCTCCTTATACAGACCTTTGAACCGCCAGTCTTCCCTTACACAGCCTAAGTGAATTACTCTTCTGGCCGCTTCTGGTACTAATAATTACAAGGAAATGGATCATGATGGCAGGCTATCGTATAGATACTCAAAGCTGACTTGAATCTCTTCCGCAAAAGACCCATTGTTATGTAGTGCATCATTTCTGGCGATTGCGAACGAGAAAGCTAATCCTCAACAAGACAAGCCCCACCTTGCGGAATAACACTCCTCGCAAGTGTTCGTGAACAGGTTTCCTGTCCTTCATTCAAAAACTGAGGAGCTTGTCTGGAAATGGGAGCAGTCAAACCTCTGTGGCCAGAGCATCAATACTACCTTACATTCCACTATCATGCCACAGGATCATCCTTCTAACCGGTCTGACATGGCAGGCAACTTCGCCACTCTTGAGAATGGAAAGCTCAGTACACAGCTTCCAGCACATTTGATGAATCTGAAACCGGAGGATTATCAGGTCGGAGTTCTCCATACAGGAAATTTGACGGATATGAAGATTATTCTCCTTGGCTTGCCAGAATGGAAAAGACCTTCCAAACTCCGGGGAAAGCATGCTTCGCTTTGAAAATTACCTGGCCGGGAAAAGCTTTCCACTTTTCTATAATTGGTCAACCGAATATTGGATCTTAGATTTGGTTGTCATTGATCCAAGGCCAACCGATGAAATCGAGATGATCAATATGGGGAAACGGACAGCAAATTGTCACGACTCGAGGTACCTTTGTGTTTGCCTTCCATCGACCACTATGGGACCCCTTTTTAACATGCTTGTGTCATCATGGAACGCAAACCCAGCCTGCTTTGAGTATTCAATGGAGTTTATTTGGATTTGCGCGGTGATAGATCCGAAGGAATTTGAAATAGAGCTGAACATGTTTTTTGATACATCATGCGATCCCATCGACAACATGTTACAACAAATGAGAGGAAGGTCTTGATTGGTCGAGGCAAAGTTAGCTATGAAGCTTGAGAGGTCGAGCAGAGCGAAGGCTTCCATCTTGGTTCAGATCTTGGGTGTTTCTCGGGTGCGCGTTACTTCTACTCATAACCCAATTTCCCACTAGTAGAATGCGTTTCGGGGTTGATGTCATGCTCATCGTGTGGGATATGCTAATTGTGGCAAGGTGTCTTCTCAAATCCAATCTCTTGTCACGTAAAAGTCAAGCAATAAGGGCTTCCACTATCTGTGAATATGTAGGATATGACATTCTCATGGCTTTGTTGCCATATCAAAAAGGCTTACTGAATGACTGGATTGGTATACAGAATCGTCACCTGAAAAAGCCTGCTAGCTCTGGATAGACGGATATGGTCAATGATGGTCGGAGAGCATGATGCTCGCGTAGGAACCGTCGAAAGTAATCGATGCATACGTTTTCCAATCCTTTCGTATAATTAAGACGTATGATGTGAGCTCACATGTACCTCCATGCGATCTGCAATATCGAACGTCTCAATAGGTAGGTGTATTGGAGAAAAGCCCGTTCACAAGACATGTACTGTACCTGTGGGCAGGTCCTACTGTGTACCAACTGGATAACCACAAATAAAATTGATGTTCCGAGCATTCTATAATCGACAATCGTGGGAAAAGTAAATGATATGTTCTATTCGGGATTGTTGCTGAAAGCCCCCTTCCCCCTGCGTCGGGTCCACAATATTCCGTGCTTATAATTGCATACAGATATTGCTCGTATATCCTCTCCTTCGAAAGGAACATCGCCGTTTCGAAGGCGAGTTGGGATCTCTTCGCAGCGGTTTCCTCTTCAACAGTTCATTTTGCAATGGTGCGACATAGTTCCGAGGTCCCCAGTACCACTCCTGGGGGACAGACCACCCTGGGCTCCTTGTTCCATCCACTGGAGTATATTTGGAATTCCCTCTCTGATACCGAACGCGATTCATTCATGTCCACCGTGTCCGCTTCCCTTGTTGCAGGCGACGGGCAGCGCAAGCGCCCACGTATAGACCTCACCACGGAGGAGGATGTCGACGACGGCAGGGTCCCGTCGCTTGTTGTGCCAGTCCTCCCCTGCTTCCCCGGTCTCGACCGTGCTGCCATTATAGCCGTTTTCGAACACACCTTCCGCCCAAAGAAGGACCTCATAAAACTTCGCAGCCCCGAGTTCAAGGCCACGGCACCGGATGGCGAGTCCTTCGACTTAAAGTCCACATCTCCTCCGCAAGGTAGTTTCAATCAAGGATTGGGGTAATGAGGCATCCCTGTGGGCCCACTGCTTCAGCAATTGTATCGCTATCTGGTGTGATTTCTTCGTTGCCAAGCACTCACTATGCATCAGTGGAATGATCCTTTTACACCGCCGCATTTGTGACCTTGCCAGGGCATATAAGTGGCAGGAGTGTATCCTGCAAATGGCCTTAGACCACCACCAGATGGTCGTCGATAAAGGCGATCTCACCGTTTCTCTTGGTGACTGGGGAATTGGTAAAGCTCTCGAAAGCTCCTACCTACGTCCGGACAACGTACTCCCAGCAAATACGGTTGCCATGGCTGCCCGGGTCGCCTTCGCCGGGTTTCGTCGGGTCGGGGAATTGACAGACTCAGCTGCTGAACAAAGGAATACGCAAATCTTCGTTGCTACTAAGTCAACCTGGGGATATCAGATTCTCCCCTACCATGGACCACATCCTCCTCACTTTAACGAGAAGTAAGACCGACCGAAACCACGAAGGTGTCAATATTGTCCTTGCAGCGACAAACGACGCGGCCTGCCCCGTTGAGGGCCTTTCCAAGCTACTCATCCATGATTCACAACCTTCAACTGCTCCTTTTTTTTACGCTCTCCTCCGGGCTATTCACCTCAGCTGCCTCCCAATGTGCCGTTATCGCCAAGCTCAAACGCTCTGGGGAAGATACCACAGGACTTAAGGGTCATAGTTATAGAAAGGGGCAGCCCAACACGCTCACGATTCGGGCCTGAGAAGTGACCACATCCAAGCTCTCGGAAGGTGGTCTTCCGAAGCTTTCCGTCTTTACTTCACGACGCCCCCAACAACACTGTACACCTGGAACCGTCAGTTCCAGACCGGTCGTCCAACTCCGGTCTCCTCTTTCTCACCATCAGCCCCTCCACCATCCTCATTTGGCCCATCGGGTCATTTGGGTCTTCCATGTCTCAGGACCAGGAAATATTCTCTTATTGTCCAATTACCGGTGGCGATATATCGCCGACGATAATATAATTTGCCGATATCGTATCGACAATTTCTTAAACTGTCGATCGCGATTGCCGATACGATATCGGCAGACTTCGAAGTTGACGATGCCGATTGACGATATGGGAAAACAGTGCCGATATCGTATCGTTAACAGCTCTAGCATCACTTAATAAACCAACAGGCTGGGTTTTCGCGGGCGGGTTTTGGCGAGGCCTAGTTGGTGGATTGATCGTGACATCACGTGACTTTCGTCCGGGTTTTTCGTCCGAGTTTCCATTCGTCCGAGTTTCTATTGGTCGAAAGCAATTCGCCTTCTCTGCCACCAATTTTCAATATTAGAAAAATCAAGGAATTGTTTTAGAGTACGCTGGATGTGAACTTCTCAATGATACTAAATCCATTTCACTTAAATCGTTGTGGTGCTTCAGCTGCTACCCACGTTTTGCCAGATATGAGTGAAGGGCTGAAGCCGATTAGATTTAGCCAAAGTAGGTCACGAACTGTTTACAAAAAGCTTGGAGAAGAGAAGGAGTGGAACAAGCGAAACAGTAATGGGAAGAGCGGTCAAGGGCGGCGGCAGAAGGGGACCATGCGAAGCGATGCCATATCGTAAGAAACAGCTCTTACCCATGCACCTCAGAGTTCTCAGATGTCTGGAGAAGTATACATAGCCTGCCCCTTAGCAGAGTCCATTGCAGCCTCCAGTTGATGAAACGTAGTTGATGGTAAGTTCGCCGTGGTCATTGATGTTGTTGTCACCACTGTTGAAAAAGACAGGGACCGAGCCACAACGGGTGCAGCCGTGATTCACAAGGTCCTGCACGAGCTCGGGATCAAGCTTCCCTGGATACCGCCTGTACCCTGGAGGAATGCACAGAGTCCAGTATGATTTTCAGACTCCCAACAAGCAATTCGTTGCTCATCGAAATACGTTTGATTGGGGTCAATCTTCTGCACGGATGCAAGGATGTCGGTCGACCGTCCGCCTGTATCAGAACACTGAGAGCTGCCTTGGCAGTCGATACCCAAAGCGGAAACGCTAAGAGCGAGAGCAGGAATCAAGCCGAGAGAATAACGCATTCTGCTCTAGAATTTAGACTTCATCTCATGCGATGTGTCTGGATTTTTTACACTATACCTTAATTCTGTTTGAGGACGCTTAAGACGGAGTTGCGGTAGAGATGGAACTGTAACCTATGAGATCTTAGGATTTAAAAAAAAAGATGAATTCTGGAGACATGAGGAAGGGACATTCTCAACATTATATAGGACACCTCGGTGATAAGTCCGCGGGTTCCACTTATCTACTTTTGCCCGTATTTCCTATATCGGAAAATAAGCAAAGTCTACCTTAGACTAAAACAAGGCAAAGCTCAGTGCTGTCGATGGGATTCTCCACCTATACCAGTAATCGAGCTATGGCCACTCGTGTAATCCGTGGCTAGACCTCCCTTTGGGTCGGGTTCATAGTTGAGACCCCAAACCCATACCCGTATACCCGTGGGTACCCTGCGGGTTACCTGCCAAGAGCCCGTTTTAGCATCAATATCCTAATTAAGCCATGTCAAGACGCATAAAATTGCTGATTAGCCTTGATAAATTACTGTTATTTATATATGTTCCGGTCACCTCTGTGGGTCGAACTAATAAATCCCTCTTTTCTCTATGAGAGATTGAGAAATCAGCCTGTTTGCTAATTGATCAATAGAAGTAATATTACATATTTTGCCTTGAGGAATCTGTGATATTGCTGTGGTTGTAAAATTAATATTGATTGAAACTGTCGTTAGGAGTGCGCAAATAAAGGAAAACTGGTTACTCATGCACTCTCTTGCAACTACTAAAACAAGGTGAAGCTCCGTGCTGGCGGTCTTCACCCACACTAGTAATAGAGCTACGACCGCTCGTGTAAGCGGTGGCACTCTCTTGCAACTACTCAAAAAGGCAAAGTGCAATCCTGGCGGTGGTATTCTCCATCCGAACTAGTGTTAGTGGCGTTAGGTTGGCTAGCTAGTTGGTTAAACACGTTAACGACATTAGATAGTCGATATGAATTCGCATTTGCACTTCCGCATGAGTCCGGTAGCCAGTTCTTCGGTAAGCAAATAACATCTTCGGGCGTTTTGACTCCCTAAAAGGAGAGGTGATTTTTGGCGATCATCTCATATAGCTTAAGTTATTCTACCGTTCTACCGTTGGTAGCACGACTATCTTAGACTCGTAAATTATACTGCAGGGTGGATAATGCGGAAGTAGGAGTTCACTGTAATTCTATCTTAGTAGATAATTCATGTCGAAAGAGGGCGTAAAGGGGCGGCTACTAGCGCAACTGAGGGCGGTGTTGGTGATGAGTAGTATTACTGGTCTAGGTGAAGAATCCCATCGACAGCACTGAGCTTTGCCTTGTTTTAGTCTAAGGTAGACTTTGCTTATTTTCCGATATAGGAAATAACGGCAAAAGTAGATAAGTGGAACCCACGGACTTATTGCCGAGGTGTCCTATATAATGTTGAGAATGTCCCTTCCTCATGTCTCCAGAATTCATCTTTTTTTTTAAATCCTAAGATATCATAGGTTACAGGTACCATCTCTACCGCAACTTTGTCTTGAGCGTCCTCAAACAGAATTAAGGTATAGTGTAAAAAATCCAGACACATCGCGTGAGATAAAGTCTAAATTACTAGAGCAGAATGCGTTATTCTCTCGGCTTGATTCCTGCTCTCGCTCTTAGCGTTTCCGCTTTGGGTATCAACTGCCAAGGCAGCTCTCAGTGTGGAAATGTAGATGGACGGTCGACCGACATCCTTGCATCCGTGCAGAAGATCGACCCCAATCGAACGTATTTCAATGGGCAACGAATTGCTTGTTGGAAGGCAGGAGCTGGTGATGGACTCTGTGCATTCCTCCAGGGTACAGGCGGTATCCAGGGAAGCTTGATCCCGGAGCTCGTGCAGGACCTTGTGAATCACGGCTGCACCCGTTGTGGCTCGGTCCCTGTCTTTTTCAACAGTGGTGACAACAACATCAATGACCACGGCGAACTTACCATCAACTACGTTTTATCAACTGGAGGCTGCAATGGACTCTGCTAAGGGGCAGGCTATGCATACTTCTTGAGACATCTGAGAATCCTGAGGTACATGGGTTAGAGCTGTTTTTTACGATATGGCCTCGCTTCGCATGCTCCTCTTCTGCCGCCGCCCTTGACCGCTCTTCCCATTACTGTTTCGCTTGTTCCACTCCTTCTCTTCTCCAAGCTTTTTGTAAACAGTTCGTGACCTAGTTAGGCTAAATCTAATCGGCTTCAGCCCTTCACTGGGAGCGATTTACCGTTTGAGTAGGCCGCTGCTTATTATTACCCAATCAAGACGGTACTCTTGTGTTTTATGTGGATCTTATACGACCTGCTACCACGGGTCCGTTGCTTTTGTAAATCGTGGACGAGACGTAGCCTTTTCCCTAACAGTCGACGGCGAATTGGAATATCGTTAAGGAGCTACTGGACTATAAGGTACGAACGGAGGGAGGTGCTTTAGGAATGGACTATTAGTAATATAGGTAGGTTATGTGGAAACTACGCAGGAAGTGTTAGATGCTATTGAGGAATGTGAGGTACTTAACAGGTATGAAGGGCGTTTCGGGTCTATCTCACGCACGAATCGAGTCATGGTCGAACGGATGGTGATGTCGCTATGACCACCGTCAGGATGAGAAGAAGGGTCCTGTAACGGGCCAGAGCCCACCTTCAAACCATGTGCTACGGCCGTAACTATAGATCACGGTGATGAGATGCGATTGCGAGGGCGGACACCGCCTTAGGCAGAAAGGCCCCCATACCGTTTTACTACAGATATGGAGCCGTTTCTCTTCCTTTCCTCAAGATATGCTTTTAGAAAGTTTCAATCCAGGATAGATTAGGTTGCTGACAAATGCCCAAATTAGATGAAAAGCGCACCATGTGACTTCCATTTTTTCAAGGTAATTTTTTGGCTGTTCAGATCGTTGCCATGTAGGAACCATTCGCATCGATGAGACCCACCTGAAACAACTTCCCCTTTTGGCGAGTAATGATTGTTCTGGCGATTCTTCTTTTACGTTACCTATGGGCAAACCGTCTCAGAAGAGTACTGTTACCGTGACGTCCTCCCAAAGGATGTCCAAGTGACATGCAAAAAGGTTCATCGATTGAATGTTTTTGCATTCCGCAAGATCACCCTTTAAGGAAGTTGTCTCGAGTGGGGCATCAAGACTGGGGCATCTAGACCCACACGTCAACTCTTTACCAATTGCAAAGCTGCGGCAAGATCTGCGATATTGGAGTCACCCTACACGGAGGGAAAGCTCCAGTTGCTATCGAAATATAACCATTGTCGCTCCGAAAGTCCGAATCCGTCTCTGACAGTAATTTATTGTAATTGGTTTCGAAGCGGTATAACTTCATGCTCGTACATCCTAGTGCATGCTAGTGAAACGCGTTTTTCAGTTATGAGGTAAAGACACCCGACCTTACCAGAGCTATTATTTGTGGCGAGAAGCCGGCGCTATGAAGTATGTGCTTGAAGACTTATCGCGACTTGACCTTTCAAAAAGATAGCACTATCTAATCAAGAAAAATTTTGCATTATTTGGTGCATGCAATATGGTCTCTGATATTGAAGTCTGCAACACTTATGAAAGACACAAGGAGGCAGAAAGAACGGTCAGAGGCCGCTATATACCATCACGGCCTTTGCGATTTCATTACGTTGACTTCGGACGCACTCTTAGCAAATGTAGGTACGCAATCACTTCGGTTTGTCCCGTTATCACGAAATCTTTCTTGGTACTCGGAGAAAGTCTTTTGTCACCGCCAGGATCTGAAGTTGAAAATGAATGCCGGCTGCTACTACAAAAAATTCATCGATTACTGCACCATTAGCAAGATGTCATTTGGCCTTGCAGAACATCGCAATACCCCAACAAGGCTGCGCTCATTGAGACTGCCTGTTTAATCTTCGCCGAGGTTAAAACTCTGTCAGTAGAACGTAAAGTTGTCTCCAAGCCTGCTTGCCTACTTCTGTATTCTCCTTTTGGTTTTGGCCCAATATGCTGACGAGTCTTGGTGTTACATATTCTAGCACCCCTGGGAAAGACTTTGAAGAATGATTGAATGCTCAATATGGCCCCGGCAACGAGTACTATGAGAGATTCGCTTCACTCATTTGGAAAGGTCTTGTGGACAATCATGACTGGGTAGCTGTGGGCGAAGTTGATGGCCCCGATATCGCCGAAGCAGGTTATGTTGACCAAGCAACCAAACTCACTGTTTCAGCATCACAACTTTATACACGGACAGTAACGAGGAGCATTCAGACCGATATCACAAGCATCCTTACGGCGAGTTCAACTGCGTTATTCAGATCACCCCTGGATCCGAGCTAAAGGGCATATCAAGCTGACAGAGTGATGGATGGACGTTGCCGGGACCGCGAACACAATTCTTTGCAAGTGAGAAATGGTGCTTTCGTAGCGTCTTTTTCCTACCAGCAGGAAGAATATCGTACTCTTTCCACCCTGTAAAGCCCAGCCTCTTGCGAATTAAGAAGGTCTGAGATGAGCTATTTTGATTCGATGAGGCATTGAATCAGAAGCAAGCTCATTCAGCTTGATTGAAAGAATAGTCTCATCCAGGAATCAAAATCCCCCAAGCATGACGTACCGAATGCCGGCCGAATGTGTACATGAATTCATGATCATGATTCCTTGCCAAAAGTCGATACGGATTGGAGTCGCCGTGGGTTTGCTCAGCTCCATCAAATACCATGCATAAAATAACTTCGACATCCTGGAGACAACATTGAAAAGAAAGGAAATTTACAAGCAGCCGTGCCGACTATGAAACCAGTGGCGAATAAGGGAAGCGAGGCGAAGGGGAGGGGTGTCAGAAAGTCCATACGAATGAATAGAGCCTGCTCATGTTTCTCAGATGTTCGGATTAGTGAAAAAGCCAACCAAAAGAGACCCTTGACATTTGGATGATCTAAGTGGCGGCATTTTGGAGAGGCTATGTTGGCATTTTTGAACAACATCTATATAAAGGGTTATTAAATCGTTACCAGATTTCGCGGTATGCGTTGATCCTTTAAAGTACGCCCTACCATCTTTCCCCCCGGCCAAAATTGGGTTCGCCAGCCGATCAAATGGATAACGCTAGATTACTCTTGTCTCAGTCTGTCAGCCTCCACGACATCGGGTCTACGGAAGAGAACATGACGAAAACTAGGATAAGTTTCGAGTTTTACGGTGGCTTCTTGGCTTTGCGTATTCTGCGAGACACCCTACCCTCATCGTCAACGGAAGCTGCTGCGCCCCAGAATTTAGCTGAGAATATCACGGAAGCTATTATTCGACACCAAGATTTCCGGATACTGGAATATCACGGCTGTAGGTCAATCGCTCCAGCTAGCCACTATTGGTTCGTTGAATATCGGCAAGATCCTCTTTAGGGCTTTGCTACTTTGACTAAAATAGACAACACTTGTCGCTATGCTGAAGTCGTCAATCCCTTTACAATCGAAGAAACTACGAATCATCATCCTCGACAGAAATGGAGCCGCTGCTTTGCAGCTGGACTCCACAGAGAGATCGAATTGAAACCGTGGTCCCATACCACTGCTTTGGGCGAAGGGGCACCGGCAAGGGTACTTGCCAACGAAACAATGGCTGTACAAGTAAGGTCATTTTAGCTCTGATCCTCTTCTCATCACTTTTGCCATACCTTATCAAGTCCTCAAAGACCCCTCATATCTTTACATATCTTCTATCTTAGTACAGCCCATAACGAAAAATTCATTACAATCTATGATCAGATTTACTGTTACTAGATTAGTTTGGCATCTTATCTTTGCTGTGTAAATTCTGGGGTAGAACCCCCCGTTAAAATACTACCGTGTGCACGATATCTATCGAATTTAGGCCCGTACACACTTCCTTGCAAGATCATATCCGGCATCTGCGTGATACCAGTCCGCGGCGGTATAACTCCCCAAAAATGCCAGGTACTGGTCTTCCAGCGGCCTCGCACTGCAAGACGAATGATCTTGTAGCGCTGTAACTTGCCGCTATTTGTTTGGTTGTTTTGTCTGATGCCACCAGGGTGAATGTTAAGATATGCGCTTTGCTCCCGATCATAGGAAAATTCAAAGAGGGCCTTTTTATTGTTCAGGAAGATACCGATAAAAGGAAACCAGAGTACCGGTTTCGAATACAAAACAGAATGTGAATAATAGGCGGGTGTTGATCAGAGTCAATGCTTTGAGATATTGGGCTCTACAATAGGTGGAACTTAGTTGGTCAATGAGGACGTTAGGCCTCATGCCGAAAGCGTAGCATTTTTTTGTATCTTCCAAGCGATTTAAACACTTTTAGGCTTGTTGAGCTTTTCAAGTTTGCAGCTAAGAAATTATTTCTAATAAAGGTTTGCGGGGCCATATTACAGAAGGAATAAGGAGGCGTCCATTTGCGCGAGAGTTGCCTCCAATCAAATCATGTAAATCGCCATCTCTTAGTAAAAAGGAGGCCGTCGCAGCGACTTCACTTTCTAGCCGCGTCACGGCGATCTTTCAGAACAGATGCATAGTTCCCTCTATAGCCAATCTTTTCCATCCATTCTTTAACACTCTTCACTCTTGTTGGCAGGATTTCGTCCAACAGCTGATAATCTCTCTTCGTCAGATCATCTTTCCAAGTATTCCAAAACCCAGAATAGTTCTTCCGAATAGTCATGCAGGAAGAGTCGTCAGGACTGCCGGTAACACCCAGTAGAGCCTCTGGATTCGGCCACATGCCCAGCTGGAAGGATTCATCCAAAGTGAAATCCCGATAGACTGCACCTGTACCCGTTACCGCTGTAAAGACCGCTGCGAGATCTTTCCACGCAATATCTTCGGTGCCCACATGCAATTCAAGACCATTACTTCTTGTGGGGTTGTCGAACAGCCATCGTGCATATAGACCGTAGTCTTCAAGATGAATGAGTGGACACTTTCCGTTTCCTAGAGGCGCTGCAAAGATCATGGTTTCCGGATCCGAGGGATCCGGTAAAGGCCGGAGAAATTCAGAAAGGCCTTCAACATATGGGCACGATGTCAGAATAGACCATCCCGTCGGAGCGGTAGGTTGGCGAGAGATATAATCGACCACTTTCCCTTTACCGTCGAGAATGCTTGTCCGATAGTTAGCGTTGAAATTTCCAAGCTTCGAGGCACACTCTAGACCGGCGTAGACAAAACGCTTCACACGGAACTCCCGAGCGAGCTCGTAAAGGCGAATTCCCCAATATATCTCGGCTTTTTCACCAATGACCAAGCCGTTTGTGTTGACAAAAACCAGCGAGACGTCTTTCAAAGCCTCCCGAAGAGTCGGCTCATGATAGGGCTTGCCCTCCATGACCATCACTCCAGGAAGTCCCGACACTTCCACCCACCTAGAACTGGGGGACCATCTCAGCGCCCAACGGGGGAAGTTGAGTGGTGCGGGCTCAGAAGGGACAAGAGAAACTTCAAGGAATTTCGTCTCGTCTTTTGTAGCGCCAATTACTCGCTATAGCCGTTGCTGAGCCGTACTCCGAAACTTTTCCAGAAGAAGAAAAATCAATGGAGCGCGAGATACTGCTAGTTTGCATTTGATGTTGACATGGCCTGATTTAGCAAGCAAAAAACTTGAGAGGACTGACTCAGTAATTTTTGCCACCTCGATCTAAACAACAGGTGAGCTCCGACTAAGTCTAGTGTAATTCGTCTTCTTAATTCATGATCCGGTGCAATTTCGATATTAGTGGCCCGACGCGTTTTCACTAATCGACGAAAGAAATATTCTTTAATAACCCTCCAGCAATATAGACTCAACAAATATCTTGGATTTTTATGTTATTCAATTCAGAAGCAATATGGAAGCATATTCAGATTGCGATAATTGTCGATACGTGGCAACAATTTCACTGGCATTTTGGCGTTTTCCAAGAGCATTTTCTTTTTAAATCCCCCAGGACAAATATATATCAAAAAGTAAAAATAAAATAAAAACATCAAGACATAAGTCTCAAGGCGATTCGACCCACCCTAAACAACATCTTAGACAGAAAAGTGTCCTGGTGTACATTTCTCGAAATGGTGCCCGAGCCCTCTACTGCGTGGCTTCGTATTATTTTCGGGCTTCTATTGAAACAAATCTGCAATTATCCTGGCCTGTACTTTGTAGCTTTAAAATTTCAAGTATCAAACCCAAAAGACTCTCACTTAACTCTTATTATATCTCAACAATTAGAGATCTACCCCTTTTGGATAGTGGCAAGTTTGATAATTCGTCCTTTTTTTTTCCGAAAGTATCGCGACCGAGCACTCTGCAAGCCAAATAACTCCCCTTCCTTTGCCTCTGACTATCCCCTCTATCTCTTAAGCGCTCTACAGATCCAGCGCAAACCTACGTCATATGCGAAGATATAAATAAAGAGCAATTTGTCGATTGGTGGATTCAGACACAGAGCGGGCACTCTGAGCATCAATCTACTATCTGGGATCGAAAGGGTCAGCGAGCAGGTATATAGGCTGATTTCGAACAGGTTTCCCATTTTGTTACTGGGTAACTTAAGGTGATGTAAAAGCACTGCGGTGCTATTTTGCATCATCCGAACTCTATAGTCCATACCAAAGCAGGGACAGCAGGGAAATGTAACGAACTGGTGTTGTTACCATTCGTGGATGCCTTATGCCTATGGCACCCATCTAGGCATCCATGCTTACGCCTATGTATCTAGCCTTCTGTCTTAGCTTCCTTCTTATTTTCCTCAAGCTATTACTTTCGTCGAACGCTACTATTTCCTTTACCTGCTACGCTACGTCGTATCTCGATCTCTGTGAGTACTTGAGCTCCTCACACACATACAATTTTCTAATGCCCGACAGCTAAACCGAAAGGGCAACTATCACTAATCTACCAATACATATCATAGTATATGCTGTGCCTCCTTAGAGCCCATACATTGTTCCTTTCAGTATATGTCATCTCAGCTATCGATATCGTGGCGGGTCCTCGCGGGTTAGTAATTTAGTTAGTAGGCTGGCTTGAAGGCGCTTCTTCGAGTGTTCAACATACTATTCTCGGCAGTTGAAGCGCATCTCCTGTTCCAGTATGAGGTGGTTGATGTAGGTTAGTTTAGAGGTGGGAGGGGGGTTGTATTCGTCGACATAGCTAAGCGGCGTCGAGTCGGCCTTTGACGATTGCAAACCGTATTAAGGCTCGCACTGCTTCCAAGTTTGTCGTCCAGTTCTGATCATCGGACGGCGATTTTCCGCCCAGGAAGAAGAATCTTTTGCCGCGGTGGGGATGGGTACATTGTAGTATTTCCGTACGGTATGCGGTCCACTTCCGAAATCGAAAGAGGAAAAGCTCAACAGTCTCTCTGGCCTGTTTACATGCACACTGGTCCGTCTTCGTGACGTTGATTCGATGGAGATATTCCTTCAATCTAGCCATGCCAGTCCGGAGTTGGGCCAACACGCTCGCTTCTTTCCACGATAATCGATCACACAGCTACCGGGTGTGTTTTCCTAGAAGAGCTGCATCCACCCGCTTCGCGTGTCTCCCTACGTTTGTGACGGTTCTGAGATACTCACAGAGATCAGGATACGATGTAGTGATATCGGGCAAAGAAATTAGTAGCGGTTTGACGAAATCAATAGCTTGAGGAGAAAGTAGAAGAGGAAGCTGAGACAGAAGGTGAAGGCTTGGATGCCTAAGCCGATGCATTCCGCGCAAGGCATCAGCAACAATGGAAATGACCTATTTCGTTACAACGTTCTCTGGCTAGCCTTTGCTGGCGGCTGCTTGGGATCGTGCGATATTTAGTGTCGTTGACTATTCCGGGTACCTGTACTTGGGGGTGGTATCCTCTTATGTTGCGGCCCTGGCCTGCTCTTTGGCCAGGTCCAACAGTTGATTATCTTCGCTGGTCAGGACCCACCGGATGTTGGTATGGTTTCTGTGTCTCTGTAGTTAGCGTGTTAGTTTGCTTCACTCTAATTTATTCTTGTGAATCTATAGGAAGTATATATTGAGCTAATTTGCCTTCTTCCAGCGGCTTTGCTCTGTATATGTTACTGCCATGGGATACAGGCTGTCTATATGATCTTGTTGATTATGGAGATGCATAGGAGGGTTCGCTGATGCGTAATTCTGGATACAAATGAAGTATATTCCTGGATAAAAATGAAGTATATTCCTAGGCAAGATAATCATTGAAAATATCCCATCATATGAAGCAGTGCTTCTTCAATATCTCCATCGGTGTCGGTCATGTGTGGCAAGAATTCTGACATACCGTAATCAGAATCATCGACTGCCAACGCGGTGCGTGGGCCATAAATAGGGCCCTGGTTACTTTGCAGGTCTTGGAAGAGTATGCCGCTGCTTTCCTCGCCGTTAGAAAAATAAGGGTAATTTCCTGGCCTGGGATTTTGCAGATAAGAAACTGGTTGGTTTTCATGCTGAGTACCCTCCATATCTGCTTGTGACGTATCTTTTGATGATCCATCAAGGCTAACTGGTGAGGTACACCATTCAGATCGAGGCCTTTCGTAGCGGCCATTCGGTGAATACAGCTGTGGCAAAACTTGAAAGCACGTCGAGCTGCCTCTGAAGTATTTCCTAAGCAATGCAGCCAGGAAAGTCCCTTTTTCAAATTGGTCACAACAACCTTGGTTGATTCAACAGGGACTGCAACTTCCTCCGGTCTTGTGGGTGCTGGGCCGATCGAAATGTCTCAGTAAAAGAACAATAGTCGCCTGGGTGAGGATATGTAACAAATCCCACCATTGTACATCTTCATAACATCAATTCAGATCCGGCTCGTCAGGTAACAGCATCAAGACAGCTAAAAAAGCTTGGAGATATGCCAAGGCAGAATTATTGCTAAAACGTGACCGCGCGAGCCGTATGCCGCTATTCTTGTCAAAAGCTGGCCGGTCAAGACAGGGTCGGTTAAGTACAATCCGGGTGCTGTAATAGTGCAACGCGAGAGAGATCTGGAAAGAAGATTTACTTTCTGGCAAGTGATTTAGGTCACTATCTCCGAAGCTGAGCGAAGGATGTAAACTTGTCGCCCACCAATCCATTTTCTTGCTGTAGAAAGATATACGGCTTTCGACGCGACCCTATCCTGTGCGAGAAATGTCGGTCGCATATACCTTATTAGTAATAGCATGGACGATCAATGACAGGTCAGCTATGTAGAAAAAGTAGAGCGATGGACTGGGCATGATGGACTTCAGAAAGTTCCGTTGAGACTCCATCTGCTCTTTGTTTAATTTTATCGCCCATTGTAGGTCCTGCATATGCAATGATGGCTCATTGATTGGGTTGAGGGTACAGAGGCCTGCATGAGAAAAGGCCGACAGGGGAGTTGTGGAGGCGCAGAGCTAGAAGCATCTCGAAGGCAAGAAATTCGCCCAGTCATGACAGAGAGAAGATGCTCTAAGCGAACAACCTACCACCATAAGTTTGTCTGAGCTTCGCGGGACTTTACGTCAAGTGTGTCGTTTTTTTTTAAGATTCATTTCCAATGCGACACCCGAACGTGCGGCAATACCAATGATTTTCCACGACCTAAGAAGAAATTAATTCTGACATATACATGTCGGGGAATCAGAAGAACGCCGCCAAGGATCGAAGGTGATATCATACCTGTTCACCTGCGAGACAATCAATAAGAAAAACGCAATCAGGGCCTCGATTTGCACTTGCTGGCAAATCGTCATGATCATATAGAATAGTGTCAGATACGTTGAGCAATTTAGCTCTTGCAGAAAAGAGTGTTTTGTCGGCCACCTGCTGCGTGTATTGCGAAGAAAGCCGACAAAACGCGCAACTAATGGCCATGATCAGATTGAAGATTGCCAACCATTTATCCCTGGGATTTCGAAAACTCCCATAATAAAAGCGCTCATATTGCTCCACAAAGAGGTCTTGTTGAATGAATGGCAAGGATATCTGGACTTTATTAACAAAGATCTGAAAGAATCGATCTGCTAGCGCTTTGAGAGGCAGATCATAAGCATTGACCATGGCCGGCTCTGAAAGACTTTGGTTTCTGGGTCTACAGTAAGAAGCATTTTTTGGTTTCATGAGGCTGGGAGAGATCAGAAATCACACCGAACCAACGGAATTAATCCCGAGGTATCTATACGAAGAAGTAAGTTGCTTGGAAATCAACATGTCCTTCTTTTATATAGACAACGTAATATTTCCTTCTGAATAGCAATACAATTCATCGCTCTGAAAACACAACTATGTCTGGAGATTCTGGATTTGAAGATACGGTACGAAAATCTTCAAATATACTAAAATGCTAGAATAGATACACGAATAGCAGCCCGAAAAACAAAGATGAAGATGGAAGATGTCTCTCGACGTAGTCAATGAATCTACCCACCTCACCGCTCAGTACTCTTGTGTTGTATTATGCCATGCAATTCTAACCCACAGCTTGCAGCATTTGTTCGAATAGTTGATCAGAGTCGGGCCAATTAGGGTTCGCCAAAGTAAGCGCTTCCTGAGAATCGTCGGGGAGGATAGATCAATTGCTGGTTGATATAACATTTCACTCGCTTTGCTACATCTCCAGTATGCTTGACCTTCCTATCCCAACCGGCAGAGATCACAGCACCCCAGGAGCCAAGGTCCAGACAGCAATTATAGGCGGCTTGGGAGTACTCGATCATCGGTTCGCCCAGAAGGTCCGCAGCCGCATTATGGCCCGACACGCGACCCAGTTGCAGAGCACGCTGGCAGGACATAAGGGCATAATGTCCTTTGGTATCGGCAAGAGCAGACGCAGCATCTCCCGTGGCGAAGGCATTCTCGATTGTAGGAATTCGAAGATACTGGTCGACATGGAGGCGAGACAGCTCATCTTTAGGAGCGGGAAACTGCTGCGTCAGGGGTGTCGCTCTTACCCCGGCAGTCCAAATAGCTGTTTTTGTCTCAATACGCTCACCAGAAGCAAGAGAAACGCCATCGGGGTCAATTTTCGCAACGGGAGACCCAGCCTTGACCTCTATTCCGAGGTCTTCTAAGGCCTGAGTAATGACAGGGCGGGGTCCCGGTCCAAGCGCCAGGCCGATTTGGTCTGCGTTTTCAACCAGAACGACGCGATAATCACTGATATGGCCAAGACGCTTGGGTAGTTCGGTTGCCAGCTCAATGCCCGTGAAACCACCACCGCACACCACGATGGTATTGCGACCCGGGCTTGGTGGAAGGGAAGCGAGATCCCGCAGATGAGTTTCGAGTTTCGTTGCAGATTCCAGCGAATCAATGTCAAATGTGTGTTGCCGGATTCCGGGGATACTCTTTGGCCGGATAACGGCGCTTCCAGCTGCTAGAATGAGGCGGTCGTAGCTGGTAGTCGATTCGGCGCCTGAAGCGGACCGGACGTCCAGAGTTTGCGCATTGTAATTGATAGATCTCACCATGCCTTGAAGAAATTCAATTCTTGCTCCTTCAAAGAGAGCTCCAAGAGGATGGGTCATGTCGGAAGCGTTTGCCTCATAGAGTCGCGGACGAATGACCAAGGAGGGCTCAGGAGCAATGACCAAGATTTCAATGCCTTGATTTTGGCTTCGAAGGTCGAGCATACGCTTGCCGACAGGGCACTCCAGACACCAGCGAATCCAGCACCGATAATGACGATTTTCTTCGTCATTATATTCGAAACTTGGAGTCGGCAAGAGGGTGGTAATAGATGATGTGTTGAGTCAATAGTAACCAAGCGGTATTTTAGGGACAATGTGTGAGGAATATCATCTAGGTCTTTCTGATCCATTTTATAGGTCGCTCGTGAGAAAATCGGCTATCTAGCCAGCTATTCTCCCGATATTATCTGGCGTTCCGGGTTCCCATAGATAGCAGCAATAAGGGTTTCCAGCGGATCCACGGATACCCGAGTGCCCGCGCTTCAACTGTTACCCGTCTTCGTTGACGAGATCTCACGATCTCCTTTTACTTCACCCTCATGGATCCAAAAACGCCAAGACTTAATGGCAGAGCAACACGTTCGTCTCTTGCGTGTCTAGATTGTCGCTCGCGGCACTTGAAATGCGACGGGAAGCGACCGTGCTGCAGTCGCTGTACTGAAGTGGGCAAGCAGTGCCAGTATGCTCCATCGCGCCGTGGTGGGCTAGATCGTGCCGCCCTCGCAGAGCGGCGCAAACGAATAGCCGCTGCAGCCAATACTACGGAGATCGAAGAATTTAGTCCGCAGTACCCGACAGATCTTCAGCTAGCCCAAGGAGTAGGATTGTCTCAATTCCCTGAGGCGGGCACGTTCAATGGCCATCGTCTGCTCGACGGGTTCAGGACTGGGGATGCAACATCCGGCACATCGTCGCCACTGGCCACTCAGGTTTCGCCTTGCAGTCTTTCGAATGATGTCCTGATCAATTCCTATTTCAGGAATTTCCATACATTCCACCCATTCCTGCCTCCACAAAACCACCTGATGAGACTATATCAGGACCAGAGCAAGCAAGATACTCTTATGCCGCTGATAGCTATTATTCGCCTGGTTGGGTATATCTATAGTGCGCGACGATGGTCAGACTTGCTGAAGGACTATGCCGAGTCCTGCTTCTCTCAAGTATCATCAACGGACCCAATCATGGTCCAGTGTCGCCTTCTATATTCAGTTGCTCTATTTTGGTATGACTACAAAGCCGAAGCCAGGAGGCAAATGGACCAGGCGACTCGCTTAGCCATTGACTTGCAGATGAATTGCCAAGAATTTTCCACGACCCAAGGAGCCGGAGACCTCATCTTACAAGAGTGCTGGAGGAGAACATGGTGGACCCTGTACATTCTGGATGCTTACTATGCGGGGACTCAAGGAACCACGAATTTTCAGGTGGTAGATATAGAATCTACCGTGGGCTTGCCTTGCGAAGAGAAAGAATACGAGTCAGGCGTATGTATAACAAATAGGACTTTAAGGCCATTTCCAGTTAACTAGCTGACTTTATCCAGGATATTCCAGAGCCAAAAACCATACAAGATTGGGAAAATCGGGAATTCGCTCCGGATAATTTTGAGTTTTCATCCTTTGCATATCTCATTGGCGCTGTAAGATGTACAGCATTCGCAGTATCCATGGCCCCAAAGATTGCGATGAAGGAAGACTCGATGCTTGTAATTCAAACTGCTGACTCGATCTTGAACGGGTGGCTGCTTTTATTGCCGGAAAGCCGCAAGCAAGTCATGAGCAAAACAGGGGAGGTCAATGAGCTCCTATTCCAAGCCAATTTGCTTATTCATGTGTAAGTGTCTTCGTGATATTTCTCCAAGGGCTGCAAAAAAGGGGCGATTCTAACAATCGCAGAACCGCAATCTGCTTGCACCGACCATTCTCGAACCTCAGATTTAACCCCGTGGAGGACGTCTCAAGCTGTGCTCGAGAGCCACCACCAGATAATCCTAGAACAGATCTCATCAACGTTCACGCTGTGTGCGTTTTACGCTCAGTCGAGGCCCAGATACGTCTCCTAGCGTTGCCGGCCCGGCAGTTCCACCACACGCCCTTTGTCACTTGCATGACTAGCGAAGGCACGCTTGCGTTGTTGTCGGCTTGCAACTTCCTGTTGGAAGGAAGGATATGATGATCGCCAGAAATCAGATCCGAATGACAATTGGATGCCTCAAAGAACTAGGCGAAGTATGGCCGAGAGCGGCGAGAAAATGTGAGAGAGATTCAGACAATCGCCCATCATGTTTTGGGATTGCTATCCAAAGTACCAAGCGTCAGTGAAAAATCCAGCAAAGTACCCCTCTTTCCAGAGGCGAAGGTCAGAGACGTATGAGATCGGAGGCTGATACATTGAGTGAAAATCTGGACATGCTTCCTTACCTGGGGTCTATCGACGACCTGCGCGGGTGGTACGACTTTGGGTACCTTAACCAAAACATTCTGTGTGACATGAGTAACCCTTCATCGTTTCCATGGCGTAACGATAACTAAAGAATTAGTATGTAGTATTATTCAATATCATGAACGGATCCAATGACTTGGAAGTGTCAAAATTGCATGGTTCTTTTCGAATAGAGTATTCTGGAAAGCTTTCAAGATAACGGCTCTATACTCCAACAAAATCAATCGCGACCTTTATCCCCGGTTGCGATTTCGAGCATGCATCTAAGCCTGTTCCGCCCGTCTCTTCGAAAGTCAAGGGCCTGACCACCAAATGCGTTAACAGAGCCTGTATCGATCATCCTAGCTATCTGACCGAGTCTCTCGGCATTAGGAGAGACTATGAAATGCATACACACAGGATTATGTGAGACATCCCGTGACTTGCTCTTTTCGTTGAGTGCTCACCCCTTGCTCCCTGAGCAAAACTGAGCAAGACGCCGTTGTAAGGTAGTGTCATTTAGGGAGCCACGGCCATAATGGCTGGTTTCCCGAGTTTGAGCCAGGTATACTTACACTCATGGAGATATCGATCGGCCTCTTCATATTCGAGGAGCAAGTAAAGCCGCCGTGTTGTAGAGAAACCCGTGATCACGATACGTCTTCTCGTAATAGGCCTTCGGTTTTCGCTTTGCCACGAGCATGGCACCGTATATGTCTCTTTCCAGAGTGCCGTTTTCTTTCCCGGTTTCCGGGCCGATCGTTCAATGTGTTCCAAAAGCTTCCTGCACACGAAAAGACTCTATGGATAGTCAGGTTTTTGGCCTTCATTGGAGCCATGGTGGATTCGAAGAATGTGATTCTGAATTAGCTAATTCATGGTCTCGGCAGTATTCATCAATGCTGTTCCTGAGTACACATTTAATTTCGAGGCATCCAGATATAGCATTAGTTGGTACCGGGTGGGTGAGACAACCGGTTTAAATCAGAAATACCTGCCGTCCATGAACGTTAGATATTTCGGGTCGCAAGAGGTTATGCCCATGATAGACCGTATTGTCAATATGAAACCTATATCAAAACAAATCACTAGGAATACGTTGAATGACTAATCATATATTACGTATCAATTGTGTATATTCACGGGTATCCATTATCCATTCACGGGTAGTTTGGATACCCGTGAAGGTTTTCCACAAGCCCGCGGGCGGGGTTGCGGAGTGAAAACTCGCGTTGGGGCGGGTAGGAAAAATAAAAACCGCCCCGAACCCGCGTTTGGCAAGGTCTAGAATTCCCGGCACTCACACGATCCTTTTGGCAACTTCCCGGAAACAAATTGCTGACTCTTACTTCATTCCGGATCATAGATTTTATGAGCAATTCCGATGGAACATGCCGCCCACGAGGAATGTTGGACATGCCGCAGACGCCGCGTCCAGTGCGATAAGTGCGGTATCCCCTGTTTAAAGTGCCAGAATGCCGGGTTGGACTGTCTCGACAAGAGACCGATTCGGTGGGTTCAAGGTGTAGCCATCCGCGGCAGATGCAGGGCCGGTCATTTGGTGGGTCGCCGGCGACTATCTCATTAGGCCTCAATGCCCCAAATTCGTTGGTAAGGTTTCTCGCTCTTGCGGTTTTCGTGCTTTGTTTGACGTTCAACCATCGTCAGCGTCCTTTTAACCCATCAATTGGCAATATAAAAAGTCATACAGACGGCCTAATAAGCCTGCCAAATGAAATGCAAGATCCGATTCTCAAAGACTTGAATCCTACAAGCCAGGGCTACATCGTTTATTGTGGGTCGTAGCTGAGACAGAAGAGAGGGGAAAATTAACAAGAGTAGAAGACGCTGACGCATTCATCAGATCATGAACGTATTTGCAAGCTACTCATGATACGTGACAGCCCGGAAAATCCATTCAGGAAGCTCGTCCCTTTGTGTTTACAACATAGCTTGCTGCAAAAGGCAATGCTCGCTCTCGCCGCTCGTCACTTTGCGAATACTTTTCGGGCTTTCTCCACTCCCGCAGGTGGAAACATCCCCGGCTTTCACCGCGCGAACCATACCGCGTTTCTTTTCAAACATCAAGCCATAGAGGAACTATCTTTCTCTCTGCAGAATCCAGATCGGTCCGATGTCAACATCACCTTGGCCAGCATTTTCTTTTGACTACTCTTGACCTCTTCGAATCTGGGAACGACAGCTGGGAGACTCATTTGGAGGGTGCGAAAACCCTCATCGCCTCCAATCGTGCCCTCTTAGACACAGAGGCAGCAGATAGCGACAAAATTGTGACCGGGGTGATGGAATACACTCTTGAAGCAAATTCATATGTGAGCTCTTCTATTCAGATTCGCGCTCCAAACTCACTGGTTAATCGATTCAAGGATTGAGGTTCTAGGGGCAACCTTTTCGAGATATGGATCAAGCTGGGGCCCAAAGAGTAATCTATTTTATTGTGCTGAAAAGGCAGAGAAGACCCTAGGCCAAGTATTTGTTGGTTGTCCAGTGGTTTTGGCTCAGGGAATTGGGTTTCTATCCGCTGAAAGAGATATCATCTGCAGACTAGAGTCTTTCGAAGCAGCCTCCGTGCAGGCCCACAAAAGCTATATCACTTCAACATTGGAACTCATTCAAAACTTCGATTCACGTCACTGGGCAATAAGTCTCCGCAGCCGGAGGGCCTTCCTTCGTGCGAAAACGCCATATGCACTTTGTCGGAAGCTTACAGAATCAGTTCTCTCATTTATGGTCAGCGATTGCTACGTACTCTTATGCAAGAGACACGTCCGTTGAACGTTGATCTGATCGACGATCTACTTCGTACTTTTGGTTCTCTGCGCAGCGATCTTGACCTTTTTAAGTGCGCTCTCTGGCCGATTTTTATTGCGGGCCTAGAGTGCAGCTCAGAAAGCCAGAGGGCATTTCTCAGTGAATGTTTGGAGGAGTTCTGGTTGGAAACACATTGTGTGAATGTAATCAATGCCGCCATTATTCTTCAGAACTACTGGCAGCAGAAAGACCACGCAAACTGGACAAATTGGATGTTTGGTATTGGTTCCTCAAGTCGCGCCTGGCTTCTCATTTAGTTTCCGTTGGATGATGAGGATCAAGCCGCTGAGTTTTGTGGCAGCCATTATGAACAAATTCTCGGTCTTGTTGCACTTCTTGAATTAGGGCGTTCATGTTTCAAGAAGATGAGGGTACGTTCGTGCGCAGCTCATTGACACTGTCGAAACAATCCAAGGCATATTTTGAAGCGACAACACTCGACTTGGGTGATTTATACCCTAAGGATCACACCCGTAGTCGGGCTTCAGTGTGGACTTTTCATGGGAGGGCAGATCCTCATTGGATAATTTGAAACAAATCCGAGGTAGCCCTTTGCCAACCTGGCATCCTATCAACTCAGCGCCGGAAGCGAGCGTGATCACAAAGTCCATTTCCTCGTAAGGTTTCTGGTGGTATTGTCCCGAGTATTCCTCATGGCTGTTCATGTAGACTGTCGTAATGCTTAAGAACAAGTCCCGACCAAGGGGGCAGAAAGTTTGCTGCGCTCTATATTCCTACCTATGCAGCTCATCCACCGCAACTTACCCTTCACTCTTCTCAGTCCTATCGAGTGAGCGAGGGAAAGCGATCGTAATAATGAGTTCCTGTCGTATCGTGTATTCATTTAGTTGTCAAATTCCCGGCCAGGCGTCCTGCAAAAAGCTGGTTGAGTGGATTGAAATCTGGTGATGCTATACCACGAATTGGGATTGGCAGACAGATTCTCAACCGCAGCGAAGGAATGACGGGCTACCTGAAAGTTCAAGAGTAAAGTTGAATGTTAAGACATCTCAGCTTTACTTTGAATCGACATAGCGTGACCTGCAGCAGGGGTAGATCATCGCTTCCACGATAGTCCGTAAAAGCTCCGTCACGCTGCGTCGCGAGCAAATGTAGATCGTACGAAGCTGAAATATCGTAAACATTTCTGGTTGCCAATTAGACAACATGCGCTTTTTAAAAAGTCGATCGCACAGACATCAGGCGGCTATGTGTCCATTACTATGTGCATAACAAGATTACCTTGGAAGGACGTTAGCAATCTTTGCCTAGCCCGGTACTGTAAATCTTGTCGTATTCCGTGGCGGGAAATCTTCTACCAATTGGTGGAGTGAGTCATCGATGTAATTAAACAATGGCTACAGAACTAGCCTTTACGCGATCACATGGGCTGTCCGAGAATGGAGTTGTCCGCGGTGGGGCCCGTCTACACAAGGTTGAGCGCATCACTGGAACGTTCTCCAAGTGTTGCCACCACAAGCCATTAACGAAAGATGCCCTTGGGATGATCATGCTGTGGCCTCTATTAAGATTAAGCTTTTGTCAGCATCGGAATCTAGGCCCAGTTAATTTAATTTTGTTATACTACTGTGTAGACAAATAAAAACCGCAATGTTGCCGGTGATCTTGACTGGTATGAACACCATTCATTTATAACTAGTGGGATTACTTCTATATTTGGATCGACCGAAATGGCTCCTGCTTCTGCACCGACTGACATTACCCTTGACTCCGTGTCAGTTTATGGGTTTACCGCTGTCCCTGCATCCGCATCTTTACTGCTCTCAACTACGACCTCGACTGCTGCGCCTTTTATTCCAGTCTCAGAGATTCCAGTCCCGGACACAGCACTCTCTGAGCGTATCAAGAGATACGCGCAATCTGAACCTCCCGGTACCCACATACAACCACTCTCTTCGTGTTTACCATTATGGGTTTGCCATAAAGAAGCACCTATTTCCTTCTTGGGAATTCACAGATGAGGCCTACTTCCTTACATGTCTACTACATGATATCGGTTCTACGGAAGAAAACATAACCAAAACAAAATTAAGTTTTGAATTCTATGGCGGCTTACTAGCATTGAACGTCTTACAAGAGACCTCGAATACATCGGCACCAGAGGCGACCGCCGCTCCTGACCTTGCAGAGAGTGTTGCTGAAGCTATAATTCGGCATCAGGACTTTCGCGATGAAGGAAAGATCACGGCCGTCGGGCAATTGCTACAGCTCGCCACCACCCTGGGAAGGTTGATAAGATTCCGAGCTGGTGGTATTAAGCTTCCCTTTTGTTTCGTATAAAAACTAACGAGCAGTAGACAACGTTGGTGCCCATACCGAACTTGTCCATTCATTGACCATTGAAGATATCTCCCGGCATTTCCCACGACGGGGCTGGAGCCGCTGCTTTGCCGCTACTCTTCGCAAAGAGACCGAGTTGAAGCCATGGTGCCATACTACTGTCTTGGGAGAGGGGGCTTCTGCCAGGGTGCTTGGAAATAAGCTTATGGTGCCGTACGAGTAACCTCAGGCACACCTTACATTGGGAATGTTTAACAGCTACTCTCAAATATAGAGAGATTTCGCAATTTAGTACGTCGCTAGCAGTGCAGGAAAACTGAAACTCACCTCCCGGCTCTTCATTCAAATATTCTGTTTCTAGCAGATGTAAACATCACAAGCTTGTGTTTTATAGACGGAAAAGTTTGCTTAAAGAGAGGAAAAGAGAGGAAAAGGAGACCTTTATATTTACATTTCTGGCATGGATGACTAGTGTTACTTTAAGTAAAGGAGAACAACAAATACTTTCCTTTGATTTGGACAATGACCGATGCACATCTCAATTCTCAATCAAAGACTAATAGACTACTTCTCACAAGCTCAGAATGTGACGAGTGATAATGGAAACAGAAAAAATTGGTACTTAAGCCTTAGGATTTATTCCACTTGATCTCGTCTTGTTGCCTACTCGCCTGAGTGGAGTACTAGCGTATGCTATCTTGGATTGCTCTACAAGTGCACAAGGCACAGCACATCGTGATAAATCATGCCAAATAATGAAAAACCATGACAAAAAGAGCCTGAAGAAGTGGGGAGAACTTCGCGATTGATTTAGTAAGGATGACTATGGCAAGCCCGGGATAGAGGATAAAGCCGTACGAATCCGGACCAAACTTAATACTCAATGAACACTTTGCGCATAAACGCCAGGAATCCTCATTACTCTCACTGTATTTCTCACACTGCTCCTGCTAAATATACCGCGTTATCCCACAATTTGTCTTCCAATCGTCATGTCTCGCCAGAACAAAATACCGAGCAGAGTATTTGCACTAATCTATTACACTGAAGCTGATTATCTACGCGTAGAGACCTTGTCGGTGACGAATTCCAACGAATTCCAATTGCTTCGAAGAGCACCTTATCTTTGGTAGGCGGTTGCTTAACTAATAGAGAACTGAGGTGGCCTGAGCCTGCTTCATGTTCACCTAAAATCGGTCGCTGTGGGGTTTCAGGATCTGTGAAATCCTCCGCTCTGGCGGGATCTCCATTCGCCTCTCTCCGAGGTTTACTCCAGGACATTCCTTGACCGTCAAGAAAATTCCCGTCACTACTCCCTTACGTCGACTCGCGAGTGTGGATACTAGCCAAAGAGTACCGCCGGTCTCAGGCCGCCACCGCCCCTTTATCGCCTTCAACTGCCTGGTAAGCCCTTTTCGTGCGTGATGATCTTGCAACATCAGGAAGAGATACAGCAAATCATACTATAAAACGAACTCTTATGGATATGTGTCAAGAAACATGGCCTCCTCCTCACAGTTGTTATGTTGCAACACGACAAAAGACCACCGTGGCGTTGAGAAGGAAGTTGATGGTCTTCTTCATCGTGGAAACTGATGGGCAACAATCGAGAGATGTTTCTGAGCTACTCAAGAGAGGCGAACATACAAGGTGACCGTGGGTAGTGAGTACATCCCAGAAAATTCAATAGAGGGTTGCGCTAGGTTGCAAGGTGGTCATCTAACTGGGAAAGTCGTGATAGATCTGTGAAGATAGTCAAGAAAAAAATGCCAATGCCTTGTCAGATAACACAGAATAGTGTTAAGCCAAAGACGTGACTGAGATGTCTCCGTTTTTTGTCTGTGGCGCAAGAGGAGGTTCATTTATTCAAGGCCAACTGCCGCCGATAGCCGCAGGAGATGTTGGCCCAAGAGGCCCATTATTTTGGCACGAAAGTCGGAGCTGGAGCTACGTAGAGAAGGGTGCGTTACTCCGTTTTGTTTCAGATGAGTGGGAAACAGTGATCGCACGCTAAACTGCGAGAAGTACTAAAATTTTCCCATATGTAGATTATGACCAAATTTCTCGAATAGGGCCATGAGCCTTACACCCTGGATTTCCTCGGCCATGCACGAAGCGACAAACCTACGCACTAAGAGTATATTTTTTGGCCTTCACGCGCGGACGTTAAGTGCGTTTGTCGACCATGTGAAGTTCGTGTGATCCCTAGAGACATTGCTTGCTCCCAGAACCGATACTGAGTTTCCGAGGGCCTCTGCTATATCCCTAGGAATGCGAGAGCTGATTTCTTTTGGTCACAGTAGACATTCTGGCTCTCAGGGACCGCACCATAGTCTCCTGTAAACCATCCGACCTAAGGAAACATATATGTTGGGGACTAGGAACCACAGATTCGGGGCCGAAATGGACGATTTTATTAAATAACCAAACGCAAGAGTTAAGTACAAGATCATACTTCTTTTTCAATCACACCACGGCGGCTTTTTAAAACAGATGCGTAGTTCCCCCTGTATCCTGTTTTCACCATCCATTCCTTAACGCTCTTCACTCTGGTTGGCAGAATCTCATCCAACAGCTGATAATCCCTCTTCGTCAGATTATCTTTCCAGGTGTTCCAGAACCCAGAAAAGTTCTTCCGAACGGTCATGAAAGAACCATCATCATAACCGGCAGAGTAACCGAGTATGGCATTTGCATCCGGCCAAATGCCAAGCTGAAAGTATTCGTCCAAAGTGACGTCCTTGTAGGCTGCGTTGATGCCCGTCACTGTTGTGAAGACTGCTGCGAGGTCCTTCCACGCAATATCCTCTGTGCCGACGTGTAGTTCTAGACCTCTGCTCTTCGTAAGATTGTCAAACATCCATTGGGAATACTGGCCATAGTCCTCAAGATAGATTAACGGACACTTTCCATTTCCTAGAGGCGCTGTGAAGACCATCGTGCCCGGATCATGTGGGTCTGGTAAAGGCCGCATGAACTCAGAGAGACCTTCCATGTATGGGCAAGATGTCAGAATAGACCACGCCATTGGAGCAGTTGGTTGATGAGAAATAAAATCGACCACTTTCCCTTTGCCGTCTAGATTACCGGTTCGATATTTAGGGTCGAAGTTCCCGAGCTTGGAAGCATACTCAAGACCGGCGTAAAGAAAATGCTTTACCCGGAATTCACGAGCTAGCTCGTAAAGGCGAATGCCCCAGTATATCTCAGCCTTTTCACCAATGGCCAAGCCATTTGTATTGGCGAAGACGTAAGACACGTCTCTTAAGGCCTTCCGAAGGGTGGGTTCGTGGTAGGTCTCTCCCTCAAAGATTATCACTCCAGGAATTGCTGCCAGCTCAGTCGCTTCTTTCGAAGAAGCATTTCTGGCAAGGACGCGAACTGTATATTTGTTACCTGATGCCAATGCTTATGTGTCTCGTTAGCTATTTTCCAGGATTCTTGGAAAGGATTGGAGAACCTTTGACAACGGGTCTTCCCTGGGCACCAGTGCCCCCAATTACCAAGACTATATTGTCCGACATGGAGTAGAATTTCACGGTCGTGATATATCGATAAGCCTCTGGCGTGCTCTTCCGTCCAATTGAAAAGTAAGCTGATGATTAAGTATGTCATGTTCTAATGAGGGACACAACAGGTTACTTATATAGGTTTTCGCTGTCGATGAATCACCACGTCTCTGTGAATCGGGGGAGGGCCATCGATGGTTCTGCCAGTAACGAATTAGCTAATTCCTTCAAACCTTGAGAAGGTTTTTGATCTCGAAAGCATACATTGCGCCGATCCGATTCTAGTCATTTGTCAGCCCACGTCTACCCATCTGACGATTGCACGAAAGAGCAATGACACAGGCGCGATTTGTAATCCACATTCCACTCTCATTCTGCGCTACAGTGAGAGAGCTAACCTTCGTTGATTGAAATATTTCGCTGAGTTACTGAAATGGGATTGGCTTAAACTCCTCTCGGGCTTTGCTGGTGGCGGGATTTCTAACATGCAGCCGTGCCAAGACCACAATCCACTCACAGAGGTTTGGCGTCCCACCGCCACCCGGAAACTCTCATCTACCCGGCATGTGACCTGGCCCATTCCGGATTGAGAAGTTGTGTGATGTGGGCCTTTCCGGTGTGCTTAAAGAGCCAACAAGGCAATAATAGCACGCATCACGCAGGGTCACCAAATGGCACATTCCCATACTTTTCAGACGCGTGTTGTAGTTCAGAGGTATGAATTGTTATTTTTTTAATCATTCACAGGTAACATGAGGCAATATATACAACGAGAAGATCAAGTTGATTGAACTTCAACTCAGTTCTCTATATACTTACTTCGGGATTAATTCCGATGGTTTTGGTTCCTGATCTGACCAGTCTCATATCACAACAACGAGACCTACTTCTTGACGTATGCGAAGCTTCTTCTACTCTAGCTTGGCACTTTCTAGTTCAAGAGACTTCAAATGTGGAGTGTTGTACGACGCGACTGTTGGGTTACGGACACACACAATAAATCAACGCCCGACGGCTAAGCCGAGAGGTCAATTCTCACTGATTTACCATACTTGTCCTGGTACATGCCGAGTCTCCTTATGAGCCCATGCATAATTCTTTTCCGTATATCATCTCAGCTGTCTATATCGTAGCTGTTCCTCGTGGGTAAGTTTTTGTTCAGTAACCTGGCTTGAAGGCGCTTCATCAAGTGCTAAGTATCATATCCCCGACGATTGAAGCGCATCTACGGTCTGAGGCACGAGGTGGTTGATGTGGGTTAGTTTCGAGAGAGGGGTTCGTTTGTATTGGCGGAATCTTCAAGTGGTCCCAGTCCGGCCGTGAACATTGCAATATAGAGGCACGCATTGCTTTCAAATTCGGCGTCCAGCTCTGGTCATCAGGTGGCGATTATCCGCCCAAGAAGAAGGGTAGGATGATATAACAGTTAGTTCATGCCTCTGAGTTGCAATAGAATTGGCACAGTTTAGCAGTGGCGCAAAGGATAGGGCTTGAAAGGCGTAAATCAAGCCAACGTCGTTACGCTTAGTAAATTTTGACGAAATGAAGGACTGATAGAATACCACCATGTCATATCACGCCATAGTTCAAGTATAGGGGCCCTTGAGATTGTTCAATCGATTGGAACGCCCTCGATCAATCATCTAATTCTGTTGGCCATGTTCAATACCAGCCAGTACCCTCAATTCCTCATTTGACACATTTTTTCTCTATT